ACAATTTTCGCGATTTCGGCTAAAATTAGAGTAGAGGGAAACTCTATAAAGCAAGACAATAAGAAGATAAGATAAGATAAGAATTTTATTAATCTAATCAAGAACCCATAAAGGGCATCATTTCACAACAATATCTACTAATATGACATGTCAATTGTCCGAAATTTTCAGTCTACTCATTACAGTAGTTTTTAGATGGTATTGTTTCAACCAATTTTAGTGTATTATACACAACATACATTACATTTTTAAAAAATTACAAAGATAGAATACTACTGTGACAAAAAAAATGACCGCAGCACGAGATCCTCAAATAAATCAATATGATGAAACATTACAGGAGTACTAGATCACAATTTTAACCCCTTTTATCTTTTCAATTATGGTTCAATTTTGCCAAAATCAGCTAAGAAACATTGCTGATGAATTATTAACTTGCAAGTGAATTATTCGACCTTATTAAATCCGTATTCATGTGACCTTCAATATCTCGGATGTCTTACTGCATCCTTTAATTTACATGAAACTATATTTCATAATATTGAATTATTTAGTAAAATTTTTGTAGCATTCCTGGATAGCAGGAAATCATTTGATACGGTGTGGAGGCTAGGTTTAATGTACAAACTGTTTAAACTTGGTGTAAATGGCAAGCTATGGTTAATAATTAATGACTGCCATTATAATACGAAAAGTGCAGTTGTTGTCAATCAATGTCAATCAGATTTTTTCTCTGTATTAGAAGGTGTACGACAAGGAGGTGTGTTCTCAGGTTTATTGTATTTAGTATTTATAAATGATTTAATTTGTGATCTGGAAAAATTTAATCCAAATACAGGTATTTTCAATATCAATTGTTGTGCACCAGCTCTTGCAGATGACATATCATGTATTGCCACATCTCCAGTATCCTTACAACGTATGCTTAATGTGTGTAACCAATATTCAAAGAAATGGCGTTTTCGTTTCAATGCAAATAAGTCGTGTATTATTCAATTTTCTGTAAATACAAGAGAGATCAATGTCAATTTTCCATGGTTAATTGGTAATGAACGTATCTCGATAGCAAATAACTATCTGCACTTAGGTATAGAACTAAACTCTCGATTTAAATCAAATCAAAGAACTGAAAGTTCAAGCAGAAAAGGCAGAAACGCATACTTTGCGTTGAATGGTATAAAGACAAACGCAACGAATCCGTGTGTATTACTCAAACTATATATAAAACTGTGATACTACCCAGTGTTTTATACGGGTGTGAGATGTGGAATAACATGAAATCTTATGACAAAGCTACTTTAAACCGGTTTCAACATTTTATAGTGAATAGATATAAGAAGATGTGGTAAGAGTGCAATTGAGACAACTCTCCATCCAAGTCAAAATTTATAAAAGTAAACCATTATAGGTCACAGTACGGTCTTCAACACGGAGCCTTGGCTCACACCGAACAGTAAGCTATAAAGGGCCCCAAAAAATTACTAGTGTAAAACCATTCAAACGGGAAACATATTCTCAACTTGAAAACGTCGACTCGATCTGATATGTGCGAAAGTATTCTTGGTATTCATCCAATAACAGGATATATTGACAAAAGAAAACTCATATTCCTACAAAAACTGTGTATCTTAGACATTTCCTCTCTTTCTAAGAGAATATTTCTCACCAGATTGTTTACTTTCTTTGTAGACTCTCAAAGGAAACACTACGGATTTATTCCTGATTTCGTTGACATTTTAAAACAGTATGGACTTATTAGTTACCTTCTTGACTATATTGAAGAGGGAACATTCCCATCAAAACAAATTTGGAAGTCTATCGTTTATAGCGCAGTTGATAGTATACAGTTAAACAATTGGTTAAACCGTGTTAATTCTGATGACAATTTCACACGTTTCAGGAATATTCACACGTCAGTGACTATTACGGAATTTTGGAAACACTCAAATTCTTTTAAGGAGATTAAAAATTCCCTTTTAATCACTAAATTACTAACTAAAATACCAAATACAACAAGTAATACATGCGATATATGTACAATGAATTTTAAAGATGTTTATGTACACGCGTGTTGTAATTGCCCAAGTACTAATGCGCAGCGCGAAGTCTGGTGGGACATTTTAGTTGACAATTTTCCAGTGCAGCTTTACTGTGAATTAAGCATGTATGACGACGAAATCCTGTTTCAAATGTTACTCGGTCGAAAACCACTGACAATTTTTCAAACAAAGATGAATCGGTTCAGTATCTCAAGCTGTGTCATGCACATGTTATCCAGCGTGTAGCAGAATATAGTCGATCTCTTAGACAGTGTTATTAGATGTGCCAATACATGATGTGTCACTGCATCAGTATTTATAAATATTGCTTGTATAAACAGTCATTTATCTTTTGTGTATTTACTTTATATTTTGCTCTTATACTAATATTTTGTGTGTAATTATGACGTTTACTTATATTCATTAATTATATGTTCATTGAATCTCATTTATGAGGAATTAAAGATATGAATGAATGAATGTTTATATCGGGTTATATGGTCACCTCCATGGTTAATTAGATGGCGTCTAGAATAAAATACACACGAAGCGGTGATACATATTACAGAATACATGCATCGTAAATTGTTTATTTTATACTTTTTATAATTTGGATACAAGTTTTAGTATGTTATAAATCAAATATAAAAATTTGAGTCAGATCGGTGAACATGAATTTGACAGCTAATGCACCTTTAATCTAATAATTATAAAGGGTATATATATATATATAGACAGAAACTCTGTCCAGCAAAAATTATCAGTCAGAGTAGATTTTGGGCCACACAATTTCCATTCAATACAAACATTCTCGTTGCATTGTACCAATTGCCAGTTGAGCGACACAGGCTTTTTGCATGGAGTGTCTATAGTTATAAATGTGTACGGTATGCGGAACGCAGAAGCTGTCATATGATTATTCAGATGGAACGCTGACCAGCGGCTGTCTTTTGCTTGAAGTTTTCTATCTATAATAATTGTATTAGATCAATCCAATTAAAGGTCCATTGAGGGGATGATAACAAAGATGACAAATTTTGTCATAAAATCCCATGTAGCAAAATGTACGCAGCCAGACAAAATTTAGAGCGTTTAGTGAAGGAAAATAGCCCTTTATAAAAGTACTTTAGTAAAATAATATAAATGGTATAATATGAAATTGGAAAAGAGCATACTTTCTGTTTGTGGTAGAGAAAAACTACGGCGAATATTACTATACACGCCACAAAACACCGTGGCATAATTGATTTCTTATTAGTTGCTTAACGTCCAGTGGCAAATAGTTCATCCATGTTCAGGACAAGAACAAATTAATAATAAGTGCAATAGATAGGTGCTGTAATAGAGGCCATCCGGGATGAAGGTCGGGATAATTTGGACTGCCACTGGAAAATTAGGGTATGCCATTTTACCTTGCAACAGGCAACCTAGCTATGGCCTCCCTCAAAGAGTTGTTACGAGGATTCTTAACGTGCAAAAAACGTGGCACTCTCTTTACACGAGGCTTCGGATTAAACGTCCCCATTCTGATCGCACGTGAATGCGAACTAGTACATCCAGCCTATCCAAACGGACGCCCCACTTTGGCAAGGGTTTTACTGCCGGTCGGAAGAAAACCTAAATGAACATAATTTTATTCCCTAGTTACACTTGGGGCTAAACACCATGGCTCGGTGCTAAACTAGACACGCTGCATGGTTATTAGCGGACATATTAAAATGAATAAATATGGTAGGTATAATGTTATAAAAATTTTCTTATATTGATACAGCAAGAAAATTAGATTGGTTACATCTCGATCATGGTTCTTTTAATCTCCACTGTAAATACTCTGGCCTGAAGAGCTTAACCTCTAACTATATAAGCCTAATTATGGATTTCACAGCCATTTTTTCAACGTAAGTACTAGTAATCCTAAAGACATATACAGTACCATATACTATATATTATCAGAAGTCCATTTCTAGGGGAAGTATATACATGCCGGCTGTATATAGTTGAGCGACTGACCACACTGAGTCTAGGCCGTTATCAGTGAAAAACTCTCTATGTGATCTTCCCAAATCTCGTTTTTCAACTAAGAAATCATGGGTAGAAATATTATCATAAAACAGATAGTTATATAAGCTATCTGTTTTATGATAGTTGATTGTTGCCATAGTATGACAAGCATTTCAGTTTGTCATTTTCACGGGGGGGGGGGGGGGGGTGGTGTCTCAACATGGAATTTTGGCTACAGTTGTGCAGCTGGGATTTAAAAAACACCCCCCCCCCCCCCCATTCATATATTGAATAATTGTGAAATCCCTACCTATACAAATATTTCACCGCGAAATCATAACCCATTCATATATTTATCAGCCTAAATAGTACGTAAATATATCACAATTGGTCAATTACTACCTATTGATATATTTCCTCGGTAAAATTGCACCCCATTGATATATTTGACGTATCAAAAAAGGGACCCATTCCAGCGGTACATATATGTATATACCTTCATATAGGAAGAGACCCCCCCCCCCCCTTGGTCATTTTATTCTACTCAGTAGAAGAGACCCAGTCTACTCAGTTTGGTCTGGTTCTATTATACAGGTATACTAGTCCAAGCCGGGTTTGGTGAATTTCTTTACTTGAAATAAAATGACAAATAAACGCTTAATTATTATAGATAATGCAAACAATCTTATTTCATAGCAACCTTTGCCTATTAAAATACGTGTGTATCTCTCGCTCTTACGTTAGTAATTTAACTTCAAAACATTTGTCTCTGATTAAATCAAACTTTTTATTAGCAAGAAAATACCCCAACATTCTTTTCTGATTTTTTGTAAAGAGTTTAAGTAAATCAAATTGGTGCGAGTTGGCATATTATAAAAGGTTCTGATGGTTTTATAGTTCAAGTAAACTTTTTAGTACGTTAGTATCTTTCTTTTTCGGTTCTAAGCTGCAAGACGGAAGTTTGCGCAAGATCAACTTCCGGGGAAACAAAAAGTAGCGTGAAAATCTTGCGTTTAAAAAATCGACGTTTGAAATGTCAAGTCGTAGACGACACGACTCCTACAGTGACGAGGAAGATGGTGAGTAATATAGCTTTCCATCAGTAGTTGTCTTTAAGCGCACGATATACAACTTGAAACAAATAAGGCCAAAAAATGTGAGAGCAGAGCGGTTTGTATTTATTTTCAAAATTATCCAGATATGCTTCACATAAAGAACGGGTTATGGTGCAAATGGAAATTTATTTATCAATAATGTCAAGAATTCGGAAAATTGTAATCTGCACTCCTAGAATAAATACTGTGAATTCAACAGTGCACCTATCTGGTTGTATGTATGTATGTACTGGTAAATGCATCCGTTATCCGAAGAATCCCTCGAAAGCTGCGAGGGTACAGTGGCATCCATGTACACTCCCTATCAGGATTAATGGAGATGTGTCACTAACGTATATTTATACTACAATTATTTTTACAAGGACGATCAATCCCCACCCAACACAAAGGGAGTGCTAGGACACCGGGAAGTCTGTTATTATGGTGGAGGAAACCGAAGTACTTGGAGAGAACCACCATGCCACTCGGCTGAAACAGACAAACCAGGGAGATATCAGAAGATTGATCTCCAGGTCAAAGTAGGGGACAACTTTGACCAACCGAGGCCCCCAAAGTACCCATTCTAGTTTAAACTCCGGTCTGGGTACCAGAGATGAGTGTGAGAGGGTGGAAATTACGCTTCTGATGTACTGATATTTTTAGCACCCCGTCGGAGTAAGAATGTACAAATGTAGTGCCTACTAGTAGTAGGTCTAAATAAAGCTGATTGTAACTTTTGTTCAAATAATGGTTTATAGCTGTTTACTTTAAACAATTATATCAGAATTTTCTTACTTTACAGGTCCCTGTCCTTTTTATACGACTGCAAACAAATTTTGCGGTCGTATATTGGTATGACGTAAGCGTCGTCGTCCTCATCCGGCGTCGGCGTCGTCCAAAGACACATTAGTTTTCGCACTCTAACTTTAGTTTAAGTGAATGGATCTCTATGAGATTTTACCATAAGGTTCAATACCACAAAAGGAAGGTTGGGATGAATTTTGGGGGTTATGGTTCCAACAGTTAAGGAATTAGGGGCCAAAAATAAGCATTTTTGTAACTTCGAGACATAACTTGTGTGTTAGTGTATAGATCTCTCTGTACCACAAGGTTCCATATCACAAAGGGAATGCTGGGATTGATTTTGGGCGTAATTGCCTCAAAACATTTAGGAATAAGGGGCCAAAAAGTGTCCAAAAATAAGCATTTTCTAGTTTCCAGAGAATAACTTGTGTTCAAGTGTATGGATCTCTCTGAAATTGTACTGCAAGGTACCATACCACAAAGGGAAGGCTGGGATTGATTTTGGGTGTAATTTCCTCAAAATTTTAGGAATTAGGGGTCAAAAAGGGGCAAAAAACAAGCATTTTTCTAGTTTCCAGACAATAACTTGTGTGTAAGTGTATGGATCTTTATGAAATTGTGCTACAAGGTTCCATATCACAAAGGGAAAGCTTGGTTTGAGTTTGGGGGTAATTGCCCTAAACATTTAGGAATTTGAGGCCAAAAAGGGACAAAAAAAAACAAGCATTTTTCTAGTTTCCAGACAATAACTTGTGTTCATGTGTATGGATCTCTCTGAAATTGTACTACAAGGTACCATACCACAAAGAGAAGGCTAGGATTGAGTTTGGGGACGATGAATCAGAAGGGGTTTCAAAAAATTTGGGAGGGGGATTTATTTTCCCCTTTTTTTTCTTTAAAATTTTCCATTTTAAATTGGTTATTTCTGATTTATATATAAAAGCAAATAATAATGATATGGTTTGAATAGGTAAATTAAAAAATTTAAAGTTCTTAGACCACATTAATTCTGTGTCAGAAACCTATGCTGTGTCAAATATTTAATCACAATCCAAATTCAATGCTGTATCAAGCTTGAATGTTGTGTCCATTCTTGCCCCAACTGTTCAGGGTTCGACCTCTGTGGTGGTATCAAGCTGTGCCCAGGGGAGCATTTTATTATACTTTTGGTTAGGGTTCAGTTCACAGAGTTAAGTTAGTACCTGTTGAAGTATTGCTCCTTATTAGTTGGGACAGGTACCACGATATCCTCCCAAACTTCCAATACTGATTAAAAATCCAAGAACTGATAGATTATGGCATTTTCTTAACGTATTTCCCTCCAACGTGTGAGCACACACAGCCACGCTTTTCTTCTAAAGTTGTGTAAGAACCTTCTTGCAGATAAAAATTTGTCTACCATGAATAGACATGATAACAATTTTTACAATCCTGACATACAGACAGAGGAATACAACTAATAATAATAATAATGAAAATTTATAAAGTACCCTATATAAAAAATAAAAATTACTCTACATGCTCTAAGGCGCTGTACATGCAGCAGGGTAATTAAAACAAATCAAAGAGAAAAACACAAAACATACACTGTATCAGATGCAAATACTAAATAAAAAATACATAAAAAAAAGGTCTATACAGAAATACATGTTAAAACAAAATTATAAAATTTAGCAATCTTTCTAAAATCATGCGAAACAGACAAAAACGCTAAAAAAAGGAATACACAATGTTGCATTAAAAGAAGATACAAAACAAGTAAAAACCTGTAAAAGAAAAAAGAAAAATCTAAGTAAAAGCAATGCGATAAAAATGAGTTTGAAGTTGATGACACATCTCTTGTTTTAGATGGTAAAGAAGAATCTGAATGAAGCATTAAATGAATTAGATTGGTTTGGAAATATATCTGGTTTACATATTAATTTTTCTAAAACACAGGTTATTTGGATAGGAAATAAAAAGTATAGTAATGAGGTGTTATGCCAAAATAGAAAGCTTTCATGGGGAGAAACATATTTTAAGCTATTGTATTTATAAGCTTTGGTGTTAATCTTGATAGAATTGTAAAAATTAATTATGATGAAAAAAATATTAATTGTACAAATAATATGTGTAATTAAACAGTGGTCAAAACGAAATCTTACTGTTATTGGTAGAATTACTGTGGTGAAGACATTGATATTGCCTATTTTTATACGACCGCAAAAATTAAAAATTTTTTGGTCGTATATTGGTATGACGTTGGCGTCGTCGTCGTCGTCGTCGTCGTCGTCGTCGTCGTCGTCGTCGTCGTCGTCCGGCGTCGTCCGAAGACACATTGGTTTTCGCACTCTAACTTTAGTTTAAGTGAATGGATCTCCATGAAATTTCACCATAAGGTTCAATACCACGAAAGGAAGGTTGGGATTGATTTTGGGGGTTATGGTACCAACAGTTAAGGAATTAGGGGCCAAAAAGGGGCCAGAAATAAGCATTTTTGTAACTTTCAGACAATAACTTGTGTGTAAGTGTATGGATCTCTCTGACATTGTACCACAAGGTTCCATATCACAAAGGGAAGGCTGTAATTGATTTTGGGGGTAATTGCCTCAAAATTTTAGGAATTAGGGGCCAAAAAGGGGCAAAAAACAAGCATTTTTCTAGTTTCAGGACAATAACTTGTGTGTAAGTGTTTGGATATTTCTGAAATTGTACTACAAGGTTCCATATCACAAAGGGAAAGCTGGAATTGAGTTTGGGGGTAATTCCCCGAAACGTTTAGGAATTGGGGGCCAAAAAGGGGCCAAAAATAAGCATTTTTCTAGTTTCCAGACAATAACTTGTGTTCAAGTGTATGGATCTCTCTGAAATTGTACTGCAAGGTACCATACCACAAAGGGAAGGCTGGGATTGAGTTTGGGGGTGATGAATCATGAGGGGGTTCAAAAAATTTGGGGGGGGGGATTTTTTTTTTTTTTCTTTTTTCTTTTTTTCCTTTTTTTTCTTTTAAAATTTTCCATTTTAAGTTGGTTATTTCTGATTTATATTTAAAAGCAAATAATAATGATATGGTAGGAGATACACACCAAACAGGATGTGTAAATTATTATATAATAAGTATTGTGCAATAGCAAGAAATTTTCAATTGCACAGTATTGCACAATAGCAAGAAATCTTCAATTGCACAGTATTGCGCAATAGCAAGAAATCTTCAATTGCAAAGTATTGCGCAATAGCAAGAAATATCCAATAGCACAATATTGCGCAATAGCAAGAAATTGTCAATTGTACAGTATTGCGCAATAGCAAGAAATATTCAATTGCACAGTATTGTGCAAAAGAAGATACTTCGTATAAATTGCTTATTTCTTGATCAATTTCAATGGGGATTTATTCTTGAATTCTTGGGGTTCTTTAATATGCTGAATCTAACCGTGTATTAAGTTTTTGGATTTTGGGGCCCGTTTTTAAATTGGTCCACATTGAGGTCCAAAGGGTCCAAAATTTAACTTTGTTTGATTTCATCAAAAATTGAATTATTGGGGTTCTTTGATATGCCGAATCTAACCGTGTATTTAGATTTTTAATTTTGGGTCCCGTTTTTTAAATTGGTCTACATTAAGGTCCAAAGGGTCCAAAATTAAACTTAGTTTGATTTTAACAAAAATTGAATTCTTGGGGTTCTTTGATATGCTGAATCTAAACATGTGTTTAGATTTTTGATTATGGGCCCAGTTTTCAAGTTGGTCCAAGTTGGGGTCCAAAATTAAACTTTGTTTGATTTCAACAAAAATTGAATATATGGGGTTCTTTGATATGCTGAATCTAAACATGTATTTAGATTTTAGATTTTTGGCCCAGTTTACAAGTTGGTCCAAATTGGGGTCCAAAATTAAACTTTGTTTGATTTCAACAAAAATTGAATATATGGGGTTCTTTGATATGCTGAATCTTACCATGTATTTAGATTTTTTATTTGTGGGCCCGCTATCAAATTGGTTCATATTGAGGTCAAAAGGGTCCAAAATTAAACTTTGTTTGATTTCATCAAAAATTGAATTATTGGGGTTCTTTGATATGCCAAATCTAACCGTGTATTTAGATTTTAAATTTTGGGTCCTGTTTTTTAAATTGGTCTACATTGAGGTCCAAAGGGTCCAAAATTAAACTTAGTTTGATTTTAACAAAAATTGAATTTTTGGGGTTCTTTGATATGCTGAATCTAAACATGTGTTTAGATTTTTGATTATGGGACCAGTTTTCAAGTTGGTCCAAGTTGGGGTCCAAAATAAAACTTTGTTTGATTTCAACAAAAATTGAATATATGGGGTTCTTTGATATGCTGAATCTAAACATGTATTTAGATTTTAGATTTTTGGCCCAGTTTTCAAGTTGGTCCAAATTGGGGTCCAAAATTAAACTTTGTTTAATTTCAACAAAAATTGAATATATGGGGTTCTTTGATATGCTGAATCTTACCATGTATTTAGATTTTTTATTTGTGGGCCCGCTATCAAATTGGTTCATATTGAGGTCAAAAGGGTCCAAAATTAAACTTTGTTTGATTTCATCAAAAATTGAATAATTGGGGTTCTTTGATATGCCAAATCTAACCGTGTTTTTAGATTTTTAATTTTGGGTCCCGTTTTTTAAATTTGTCTACATTAAGGTCCAAAGGGTCCAAAATTAAACTTAGTTTGATTTTAACAAAAATTGAGTTCTTCAGGTACTTTGATATGCTGAATCTAAACATGTGTTTAGATTTTTGATTATGGGACCAGTTTTCAAGTTTGTCCAAGTTGGGGTCCAAAATAAAACTTTGTTTGATTTCAACAAAAATTTAATATATGGGGTTCTTTGATATGCTGAATCTAACCATGTATTTTGATTTTGGACATTGGACCATAATCGGTAAATTAAAAAAATTGAAGTTCTTAGACCACATTCTTTCTGTGTCAGAAACCTATGCTGTGTCAAATATTTAATCACAATCCAAATTCAGAGCTGTATCAAGCTTGAATGTTGTGTCCATACTTGCCCCAACTGTTCAGGGTTCGACCTCTGCGGTCGTATCAAGCTGCGCCCAGCGAAGCATTTTATTAAACATTTGTTTATATCCTTACCAAATCCAGGTGATGATATTTTAAAAAAAGTTATTGAACTTATGTACAATGTTATATGGAGTTCACCAATAAATAGAATAAAGAGAGATGTTTTACAAAATGGTATTGACGATGGTGGACTCAAAATGATAAATCTTAGTGCATTTATTTTAGCATGTTTAGTACTGAAGTGTACATGGATAAGGAAATTATTTAAAACAGACAACAAATGGCAGAATGTTTTTTTGTCCAATGTACATGTAGAAATTGAAAAAAATTATGGTTGTGAAAGTGTATATATACAAAGATAACAAGAAAATATAAAAAATAGATTTTGGAAAGATGTTCTGAAAGCATGGCAACTTCTCAGAGAAAAAGATGGAATGCTTTCCTTCTAGTCCAATTTGGCTTAACAATAACATAAAGGTAGAAAATAAACCTATTTTTTATAAAGATTGGTTTGAAAATGGTATAAGATTTGTAAATGATTTTGTAAGTGAAGATGTGAATTTCATTAGATATAATAGTATTATATCTGCTGTACATCAAGCATCAAAATCATTTGTTGGAAAAAAATTACAAGTTGGAACTTACCTTTTATTCCATCCGCTATGAAATGACTTGTTAAAAGTTCAAAAGGATCTAGAGAGATGTATACAGTTTTAAATAAAAATAAAAGTGTTCCCACTAATCAGTTAAGATGGACTGAAAATTTTGGCTTTGATAAAAATCATTGGAAAAGAATTTATATAAACTGCCATTTGTTGTCACAAAAAATACCAAGCTACAGTGGCTGTAGTATCAAATCTCAGCTACAAACAAATTTCTTCATAAAATTAACATTTATGATAATCCAAATTGTACATTTTGTAAAAGAGAAATTGAAACATTAGAACATTTATTTTGGGATTGTGGACATACATAGATATTATTAGAACAGATTGAAAATTGGTTTCTGACCAATGAAATTAGTGTACTTTTTACAAAAGAAGTTTTTTTGTCTGGAAACATTGAAAAAATATCAAAAGGCAATGCAGAAAATACTCTTTTTATTATCATAAAACAATATATTTATAATACCAGATGTTTAAAAAAAAAAACTATCAATGTACTCAGTAAAAGAGAAGATGAAATATTTGTGTGCAATTGATAAAAATATTGCTATGAAAACAAAAGTGAATATCAGTTTCAAAGAGAATGGAATATTTTTGATAAATTACTTAGTTAAAGTATATATTTCTACTGATGTGAATGAAAATGCAGGATTTACTTTGCTGAATTATAAGTCAATGTCCAGATGAATTTGTATCGTAAACTCACCACACTTCTCTCTCTGGTGTTCAGACTGTCTTACTCTCTATCTTATACATATATTTAGAAGAAAAAAAAAGAAAGGTGTATTGACTAGATAATATTAATAGATTTATATATTATATATTGCTATTATATTTGTGTATGTTATATGCTGTAAATTGGAAGTTATAAATAAAAAAAATAAAAAAAAAAAATATTCAAAAATTCTTATTTTGTGAAATTTGACACGAAAAAAATGAGTGTTCCCGATTTCGAACATTTCCTAAGGGAGACAATCATGATCAGCCAATCAAAGTCTGTGTTTCTCATGATCACATAAATAAGCCAATCAAAATCGTATTTTCTCCTGATTATTGGGCATTGCAAACATGCTAAATTTTGAACTTGTTTGGAACATTTAAGTTGTATTCCTCTGTCTGTATGTCAGAATTGTAAAATTCTTGATCATGGCAGATGAATTTTCATCCGCAAGAAGGTTTTTACACAGCCTAAGAAGAAAAGCATAGCTGATTGACAAAATTCAAAGACGCAGTACTACCATAAACATCTTCTTTTTTTCTTCGGTTATACAACAAAACTTCAGGATACTGAAGATTACTTGTTGTTGCGCATGTTATAGCTCTTTTATGATGATTTTTACCAATTTTGTGAGTTTTTGCCTTATATCTTGAACTATAATAGATAGATAGAAACTTTATAAAACAAAAATGATCTGCAAGACAAGATCTACAAATAAGCCATTATGACTGAAATCTTTAGTGGAATCATTATTGGAGTTATTTCCCTTTAAAGATGTTTTTTTAAACATTTTGGAATTTTTGCCAATTATCTTGAAAAGTGTAATAGATACAAATGTAGAAAGAAACTTTGAAAAGCAAAAATGATCAGCAGGACAAGATCTACAAACATCTCAACATGACTGAAATTTTCAGTTAACTCTTGATAGAGTTATTGTCCTTTCACGATGATTTTTACCTAAAAAAAATGGCTATTGTTGAAGATGCAGGTGGTCAACACAGGCTCTTTAGAGCCTCTAGTTATCCTATATGATAAAGTTCTAGCACAAAAGTAATTAATCAAATTGACCATGTAATTGCACGGTGAATTACATTAATAGTCAATGTAATTGTACTGTGAATAACATTTCAAAATCAGTGCAATTGTAATGAAACAGATGCCTTTAATTACATTTAAATCATTTCACTTGGAATGTAATTGATGGGAGGAAATAGACATTATCTTTTGGTTCTTTTGATTAGTATTCTGATAGTGATTAGGTGCATGTGTGCATCTGATAATTATTTTTAGTAGACATCTTGTGGATTCTTCCATATATACCAAAGGCAAAATGATATATTTTCCTTTGCCTTTAAAGAACTAACTTGCTAAGAATTCTTCTTAACTGTAACAAGACATGTATTTCTAAGTGCAAAATAATGAATTGGTAAGCAATGTAGATAACTGAAAAATGAGTTCAGAAAAGCTATGAAAACCTATATTTTTGGGACAAAAAAATTGCTTGATAATTTTCTTACTGAAAATTAGCTTTCTGAAGTCTGTATCTCTACTTTTGTCGTCTATGGGTTAAAACAGCTGAACTTTGCAATCTGCAGGTGTAAATAGTACTTTACAAGTTAAGAGGTCAGACATTTGTTTTTGTATAAGAAATAAAGTTAAATGATTTTATGTTTAGGTCCTTCATCAGCAAGAAAGAGAAGAAGAGTATCAGAGAATGTTGACATTGAAGACAGACTTGAATCACTCATAACTAGAGTAGGAGAAAAGGTAAACAAGAATAAAACAAACAGCACAACTTAAATCTATTGAACAGTAGAATAGTAGAAAATAATAATTTTGATTGAGAAATAATTTTTTTCATGTCATGTCATATGCTCATTTTAACATGGGTAGGCATTATATTTGTAAATATCTTTCCATTGAGCATTATTCTAAGTTGGTTTGTTCTCCTGAAACTAATGCAGTGGAGTTGAGTCATGGAGATGTTTATACAAGAAATGAATACATCTTTATTATTAAGAGCATTATGCATTATCATGATGAACATCAATTAGATTTAGACAAACAAACATCCATTCATGAAGGGATCACAAAATGAATATAATTCCTGGATTTTGCAATGATTTTACCGGTGATCAGTTGCTGTCTGCTGAGAAAAAAAACCACCAAATTTTGACCGACTTATACGAGGGTCAAGACTGAATCCTTAGATTTTGAAGCTGAACAGGGTATCCGACTTATAGTCAGATCGACTATTACTCGAGTACCAATGGTAAATCATAGGATGAGTTAACCATAACTACCATCATTGCATGACCATAAACATTGAACAGTATAATCATGATAATAGGCCACACCAACATTCCACTCATACAAAATCAGTTGTACAATCAAAGACAAAAACAACCAACAACACATGGTCCAGGTAGTCATGATAATAGGCCACACCAACATCCGACTCCTACAAAAATAAGTTATACAATCAAAGACAAACCCAACAACACATGGTCCAGGTAGTCATGATAATAGGCCACACCAACATCTCACTCATCCAAAAATAAGTTATACAATCAAAGACAAACCCAACAACACATGGTCCAGGTAATCATGATAATAGGCCACACCAACATCCCACTCATCCAAATATCAGTTATACAATCAAAGACAAACCCAACAACACATGGTCCAGGTAATCATGATAATAGGCCACACCAACATCCCACTCATCCAAAAATCAGTTATACAATCAAAGACAAACCCAACAACACATGGTCCAGGTAATCATGATAATAGGCCACACCAACATCCCACTCATCCAAAAATCAGTTATACAATCAAAGACAAACCCAACAACACATGGTCCAGGTAATCATGATAATAGGCCACACCAACATCTCACTCATCCAAAAATAAGTTATACAATCAAAGACAAACCCAACAACACATGGTCCAGGTAATCATGCTAATAGGCCACACTAACATCCCATTCATCCAAAAATCAGTTATACAATCAAAGACAAACCCAACAACACATGGTCCAGGTAGTCATGATAATAGGCCACACTAACATCCCACTCATCCAAAAATCAGTTATACAATCAAAGACAAACCCAACAACACATGGTCCAGGTAATCATGATCATAGGCCACACTAACATCCCACTCATCCAAAAATCAGTTATACAATCAAAGACAAACCCAACAACACATGGTCCAGGTAGTCATGATAATAGGCCACACTAACATCTCACTCATCCAAAAATAAGTTATACAATCAAAGACAAACCCAACAACACATGGTCCAGGTAGTCATGATAATAGGCCACACTAACATCCCACTCCTACAAAAATAAGTTATACAATCAAAGACAAACCCAACAACACATGGTCCAGGTAATCATGATAATAGGCCACACCAACATCCGACTCCTACAAAAATTAGTTATACAATCAAAGACAAACCCAACAACACATGGTCCAGGTAATCATGATAATAGGCCACACCAACATCCCACTCATCCAAAAATCAGTTATACAATCAAAGACAAACCCAACAACACATGGTCCAGGTAGTCATGATAATAGGCTACACCAACATCCTGCTTCTCAAAAAATAAGTTGTACAATCAAAGACAAAAGCAACCAACACCACATGGTCCAGGTAGTCATGATAATAGGCCACACTAACATCCCATCCCTACAAAAATCAGTTGTACTATCAAAGACCAACCAACAACACATGGTCCAGGTAGTCACACTTGGTTCAGGGGTAAAATGTGGTGGTGTTAAACCAGTTTTACATGCTCACAAATCTAGACCATATGTCGTAAAAGGAAACCTACAATAAAAAACTTGCCAGCTTAAAACTTTTACAATATTAACTTTTGAATGATAGTGGATACTTCTGTTTTGTAGAGTACATCCTCTTTAGAAAGTAACCTTGAAGGCTTAGCTAGTGTCCTGGAGGCAGACTTGCAGAATTACAAGACAAAAATCCTAAAAATTCTAGTAGAATGGTAAGTGATAAAGATTACTTTGATGCAACTCTGAATAATTGTTGTAAAATCAGATAGATTCCTTGTAAAAAATACTTACAAATGTATGTTATTGATGGTCTGTAGAGGATCAGACTTACTTAAGGAGATATACAAAAAAGGGTAGACATCAGAATTCTTTTATTGGTAATAAACAATGTGGTTACAGGATTCTCTTTGGAAAGGAATATACCAGTGGGACAAAAAGGACTATATTCTTGATGTCAAATATGGACTACAATGTGAGAAAAAAAAATCACAATTTTTCAGAAACATCTTTTTGTGTCAGAATTTTAACAAAAATTTGATATATGGGTTTTAAATAATTCTAAATTGATTTCTGAAGTCGAAATAGTGAAGTGGTAAATTCAATGTTTTTGTTAGGATTTCAATAAAAATTGATATGTATGTATAATTTGCTATTCCAAAATGATTCCCTGTGTCAAAATTATTGGTTGCCTACCATTTAGAAATACCCACAAAAATACATAGTGCTTGGATTTTAACAAGATGTTGTATTGATCCATAACGCTGCACATCCTGAATTAATTCATGGTGTCAGAATTTTCGAAAAATTATCATGAATTGCTTATTATGCATCAGTCTCTGTGCCTTACACAAAAATGTGCAAACAGAGCCATTGCTGACATGTCAATTTTATAGGTGTTTTTACTGTAGTGGTTGACATCCTTTTCCTTTGGTGTTTATTGGATATTTGTCTCTTTGGCAATCATACCACATCTCCAATTTTTTTAAACTGTAGTTGTTATCAATCCTGTAATGTGGTGTTTACTGGATAGTTGGGTCATTGGACATCTTTCTATTTTGATATTAATTGAGTGATTATATTTTCAGTGTAGCAGCTTTACCAGAGAAGATGGCTGTCTATACCACTTTAGTGGGTCTTCTTAATGCCAAAAACTACAACTGTGGAGGCGAGGTTTGTTTATTTTTTATCATATGAATATGACATTACTTAGAAAAAATCACTTTAAGATCTACCATAAAAGAAAGGATATGGGGTATCCATCCATGACACAAAATCAGTACATGCACAGCAAAAAAACACAAAAAGTAAAGGAACAGTGCTTTTATTGCTGTTCATCATCTCAAGTCGCAGTAAGGCCTTCAATGCTGAGCAAAACTCTCACCTCACTGCAAGTTTAAGACAGCCCCTAGCACTGGTTTGAAAGGAATTTTTAGCAAACTGACAATCACGACACAACTGTGAATTGAAGAACAAAACCATGGAGTAATATCAATGAAAGAAATCATACATTTACTGTCATAATTTAACCCGACAATCACACTGAAAAACAATATAAACATTTAGACAACCACGCTGCATATTGAGATATATGTTAGATAACTTGGCTGGAAAAAAAACGTATGTATAGGGCAAATAATTTGAGTAGACTTTGTAAGGTGTAACACCACCAACTTTGGCCTGGTTAAAAAGAACATACTGGAAAGTAGTACATATATAAAACAATAGAGTTCCTGTGCATAGGTGTAAATATCAAACTATGTAGAATAGTTGGCTTAAGGCAAAGTATAAGTAATTGGGCAATATTTCGGATTTTGATGAAATTGAGTCTTTGATCCATTTTTGATGAAACAAAGACAAATATCTGTTTTTTCCCAGAACTATTGTCTATTTTTTTGCATTACATATATTGAATTTGGCAGGAGAAGTGATTAATAAAATTTGATGTATGCATGAAATGCAATATTGGGTGTTGTTTCTTGAAAATAAATAAAAATTGTGTTTTTATGCCCCTCCTACGATAGTAGTAGGGGCTTTATATGTTTCCTGGTCTGTCCCGCTTCAGGTTAAAGTTTTTGGTCAAGGTAGTTTTTGATGAAGTTGAAGTCCAATCAACTTGAAACTTAATACACATGTTCCCTATGATATGATCTTTCTAATTTTAATGCCAAATTAGAGTTTTGACCCCAATTTCATGGTCCACTGAACATAGAAAATGATAGTGGTCCGAGTACACAGTTATTTCGTAGTGCATTTCTTTTAGACAATAAATGCAAATTAAAAAAATCCCACCTGCGCTTTCTCAATAATATTTTTACAGTGTGTTGTACTACTTTTGGGACAAATTATATCAAAATTATAGAAAACTTCATCGGCTCTAACTCAAAATATGGACAATTTTATGTTAAGGGGGTCTTCAAATCTTTTGACAGCTTCCGAAGTGCTAATTTTTAACATTTTTCAGCTGGACCAAATCACTACTTTACTTTAAAATTCATGACCCAAATTTTTTTACAGTGTCATTTCAACCCCCTACTTGCTATTTGAGTCATAAAACATGGAGAAATAAATTTGGAAGGGGTATAAAAAAAATTGGCAAGTAACACACTGTCCACACTAGGGACTATATTCGTGGACAACGAAAATCAAAGGACGATAACTGTGTACTCGGACCTAATAGGGTAGAAAAAATTGGCCAATCTTAATGAAACTTGGTATGACTAAAGCTTAATAAATTATCAGACTGCTTACAAAGTTTCATGGCAATAGGATATATATTATAGACAATATGACTAATTCTATATTCAACTTTGCATGTTAAATTTAGACGCTATAATTGAAAAATTTCAACTATCAACATTTGGGGCTTTAAAAATTAAAATATTGCAAAAAAATACTTTTTAAATGTCTTAATATATAATATATTATGTATTAAAAGCAACAGAGTACTCATTTGATTTATCAGACTTATCATAATTATTAAAAAGTCAAATTTATATGAGCCTGTGCCTAAAAATGGAGGTTTTCCAATGAAGGGGGGCCTTACATGAAGATGTAATATTTTCCAGCAATTTTAAATTTGTAAAGCTTTTTGGTTATAAATAATCCTTACATATGTATTTAATGTACTTTAAATGGAAAGAAAACTTACAAATAACATATCATATTAGTTTAAAAGGGTCTTAGGCCAAGTAAGACTGAAAATAATTTAGGGTCAATTTAGGCCGTAGCACATATTTACATTTAAAAATGCATATTGAAGCTATAGGAAATAAAAATTTGTGTCTTTTCTATCATTTCTGTACTCAGGTGACATGATACAATAAATCTGAGCACAAAAAGACTCTTGCATTCAACTTTTTTTGCAGACATTATGGTCTGATACAAAGATTTTTCACTTTTTAGTGAAAAACATGCATGCAATTTTAGTCTCAACAGGCTTATATTTGAACCACTTGCTATCCTACAGAAGAAAAGAAAGATATTATGTGACATGAAACAGGTACAAAAGACATTGTTAAGTGCTTTTTATACAAATTTAGTGAGGTCTTTATTATGGACTTCAACTTTTATGTTCCAAGATCCTCACATTTAACTTGATCCAAACAGGGCGTTAGACGAAGGTCATATATACAACACATTTTGCACATATTGTCTGAGATAATCTTCTTTTCTGTAGATTCAGAGTTCACAAATGAGTAATACAACTGGATTGAAACATAGAAACACAAATATTGACACATAAAAACCTGTCAGATAGAAAGTTAGAATGCCACTTATGCATCAAAATTGAAAAAGCTATGAAATGCTTATTTTGACCATAAAATGCCCAAATTGGTCATTTTTGCAGAAATTCTATCAAATAAAAGTTTAAATCCTTTAGTTTTATGCTATTTGACAAATTGACACCATCAAATCATTCAGGGAAGTTGCCAAAGTACAGATTCTATATTTCCTGATTTCACCTCTTAGGTCCGAGTACACAGTTATTTCGTAGTGCATTTCTTTTAGACAATAAATGCAAATTAAAAAAATCCCACCTGCGCTTTCTCAATAATATTTTTACAGTGTGTTGTACTACTTTTGGGACAAATTATATCAAAATTATAGAAAACTTCATCGGCTCTAACTCAAAATATGGACAATTTTATGTTAAGGGGGTCTTCAAATCTTTTGACAGCTTCCGAAGTGCTAATTTTTAACATTTTTCAGCTGGACCAAATCACTACTTTACTTTAAAATTCATGACCCAAATTTTTTTACAGTGTCATTTCAACCCCCTACTTGCTATTTGAGTCATAAAACATGGAGAAATAAATTTGGAAGGGGTATAAAAAAAATTGGCAAGTAACACACTGTCCACACTAGGGACTATATTCGTGGACAACGAAAATCAAAGGACGATAACTGTGTACTCGGACCTAATAGCGAGTGAGGCATCCATGTACTATGGACACATTCTTGTTTTATTTTTCAGTTCACAGAACTATTAGTAAGACATTTGAAAGAAGCTCTGAAGACAGGAGAATTTGATAATGCTTTGTTAATTGTAAGTTAGATATTCATATTAGAGTATTTATGTGTGTTGCTACTAATATAGTGTTTGGGACTTGGGTATTCTTTTTAGTTTGATTGACCATGATTTTTTCTGAATTTATAAATGACTTTTACTGATGAAAGAAGAGTGATTCCAACACAGCAAAGTTTAGTATGACTTTGATTTAACAAATATCAACTTCATACAGACAAACTATATAAAATAGATATCTGAAAAATTAAGTGAGTAATTTCAAACTGTTAGTCAAAGTGGACTATAGGTGGAAGGAGCATTTTAGACCACAGTCAAGAAAAAGTATAAAGAAAGGTTGAAGCTATTGATAGGTCAAGGGTCTAAAATGAATCCACTGGTAAGTATAGGTAAAAACTCGATGAAGAAGGTATTTTACATGTGGTGTTTACTGTTTATGAAATAAAAAGTATCAAAAGGCTATTTTTGATCCTTTTCTGAAATGATTATTTCATCAATTATTTTACTGTCAAACAATAAGCAAGTGATCATACCTTAAGAATTTTACTATAAAGGTTGTATATCATTTGGATTATGAGACAAGACTGCTAACTATCTGAAAAAAATATTAACTCATAGTCTGAAATTTACAGTAGATAATTTATTTTAAAATAGCATACAAAATAAAAAGAAATGCATTAAAATATTGTTCTTTTGATGTCTCCTGTATCTTTGTCCTGATTTTTTTTTTATTATTTTTAGTTGTGGAATAGTGACTATTATTTTCTATAATTTTTTTAGGTACGATTTTTATCTGACCTAGTAAACTGTCATGTGATTGTTGCTGGTTCACTGATTGCAATGTTTGATAACTTTATAGAAGTTACATTGGAAGACAACATACCTCAGGTACTTTAACAGGAAAAAGACGATGTAGCTATTATGTGGGATATGTTTCACGATAGTTTGTTTTTCGTGATTTAAAGTGTGCAAATAAGACATAGAACTCTGTTCAAAAACCAAAGTTTTGAAAAATTAAAAATTGTCAGACTGGCTGGCTCTAGCTATAAGTCTTGTAACAAAATTAAAATATTTTGTTCTGAGCCTGAATCAGATGGTAAAAAAAATAGAATTTCTTGAAAAAAAACAGCCAAAACCGGGGAAACCTTTGAAAAGTTTTGGAATTTTTGAAGTGATTATGATACCAATTACAACACTATTTTGTAAATATTAATGAAAAACCTCAATAAATTATAGAAAGAGCTTGGAATTTTAGTTTGGAAAATTGTTTATTCATAAAGTTATTATTGTTAAATTTAATGTGAACTTTTAAAAGTTTTTATAGATATGATCTGAATAATTACATGCATTCTTAATTCATAACAAATGTAAAATTTTTGTCATTTTTCACAGGTTAGGTCAGATTTCTACATATATGCTGTAATGGCGTCACTACCTTGGGTAAGTTTAAAAAGTATTATTATGAAGAAATCTCTGCTGCATCTTCCCTGACTTAATGTATCAGATTACTATATTTAATGGCTTAGTTACCATGGGTATTTAGTCTATTATTTCTATAAATAAGAAGATGTGGTATGAGTGCCAATGAGACAACTCTCCATCCAAGTCACAACGTATAAAAGGTATACAATTATAGGTCAAAGTACGGCCTTCAACACGGAGCCTTGTCTCACACCGAACAGCAAGCTATAAAGGGCGCCAAAATGACTAGTGTAAAACAATTCAAACAGGAAAATCTACCTATATGTTGTTATGGTTTCATTTCCATGAATAAATTACTGGTTATGTAAGATTTTTATAATTATATTAGACTTCAGTCAGTTTCATCCATTTCCATGAAACTTTCCTATCCCGAACTTGACCTTTTCTTTTTTTATTTAGGTTGGTAAAGAACTGCAAGAAAAGAAAGAACAGGAATTTGGGAAGCTTTTGATGTCAATAGATAATTATATAAGGTCATTTATCATAGTGTTTATTTGAAGTGAAATTAATTTTTTACCTAGTCAAAAATTGAGCAAAGTATGTTCGTCTTAGCTGTCAATTATGCTAACAATACTGCATTTGACTGTGATGTGCCACAGTTTCTGGAACAACTATTGTTTGAATAATTGCTGGAACCTTAATTGTAAAATTAACAAGAGAGGCAGAAGATTCTTTCTACAGGATCATTTTAACTAACTGAATCATTTTCACAAATTTCTTGGATTGAGGAAAAAATTGTATTTCTTTGGATATTTGATTCCTAAGTCTGCATATGAGACTATAGAAAATGTGTACTTCATTGAACATTTAAAATTGTCGTTTACTTAAACCAAGGAATGTCACAAATATAAGTATAAAGTGACTAATAATTAATCTACAGTACATGAATATGTAAATTAGAAATCTATTCTATACTACTGACAATAAGTCTAAATGTATCTTTGTAGCAAGAGACAGAAGATTCATGCACCAACCCTGAGAGTTTGGACTTCAGATGATCCACATCCACAAGAAGAGGTAATATCTTTATATCACATATATTATCTTCAGAATGCAGATTACAACAATTTACAAATACCTAAAGATATCTGAAAACTATTTTTTCCTTTCCTAAAATTTCAGATTAAACACCACCATGCCCACCTGTTACCACCATACATGTACATAAATTAACATACACTAGATATTGCTATGGACTTTTTCATTTAGATATATATGATACTATAAATAAGAAGTAACAGAAGGCACTGACCCTTTGCTGCAATTTTTTTTAATTTTGATTGAATAAACCTATTGTATTCAATGTAACATCTGTTTAGTGGTCACATCATCAGTTATACAATAAAAACATTCAATTGTTTTAATCATTTGATACTTTCAGTATTTGGACTGTTTGTGGTCACAGATAAAGAATCTCCGAGCCAATAAATGGGCAGAGAAACAGATAACCCGACCTTACCTGGCTTTTGATGGTGTGTTATGTGAAGCCTTACAGCACACTTTACCACAGATAATACCACCATCACACAATGACGAAATGAGCTATCCTTTGCCGAGAGTTATTTTTAGAATGTTTGATTATACTGATGTACCTGAGGTATGTGATTTATAATAGAGATAGTAAGAGACTGCAGAACACAATGATTAATGCAGGGTTTTATCGTGGCACAAATACATATTTATATTCATTACAAAGGAGATGGAAAAGCATTCTTGTTTTATGATATAAAAGTAAAAAGATGTGGGTTGAATGCCAATGAGACAACTATTTACCAAAGACCAAATGACGTAGATGTTATACTGCATTATTACTTATACAAATTTTCTTACTGTAAATTTTTTAATCATTCATCATAGATTGACAATAGAAAATGCTCACATTGAATTCTGAATTAGTATCATCATATTCGCTTAAGAAAGAATCATATTTTTATTCCTTAAAGCAAGGTTCAAGCGTTTTTCGTGTATCATCTCTATGAAAGCTGTTAGCAGTGTATTTTACCTACTTGATATAGTTGTCCAGTAAATATTTGTAAAGAAATTGGATGAACATAAATGAGACAATATCCCAGGAATATACAGTTAAAACATGTGCTCCAGACAAATGAAGTCAAGTCTTTGGTATTGAAAGATTAAATCACAAATACAGTTAATGTACCCTAACAACAGTTACTGTCAATCAAATGACAAATTCTATCATTGATGTTGAAATGAATATATTCTTTTAAGAATTTTTAATTTTGTTTATAACAAAAATCATGTTATAGATGAATATAGGGAGATGTGGGTTTAACATCAATGGCACAGCAACCCAACATCTTAAAAACAGTAAGACATATAGAGGTCAGCATACAATACATTAGATGTCAAATTGTAAATTGCCCAGAAATTAAAAAAAGACATGAATAGATTAAGAGATACTGCAACTCATGGCTAAACAAACAAAATAGGTATTAAAGTTCAAACCCTAAAAAATAAAGTTAATAAGATAGTTTTAATACATGCAAGCATTTAAACTTAATTGGTATGTCTAACAGAAGTTGTCATTGTCAGATTTATTGATTCTAGGGACCAGTTTTACCAGGAAGTCATGCAATTGAAAGATACCTTATAGAAGAACAACTCAGAAGAATTATTTTCAAACATGCATTTGATCGTAAAGACTGGTATGTAATTTATATAAAGTTCCAGGCTGAAATAAGCTTACATTAATAAAAACACATATTTCACAATTTCTGAGTTGCTGTCCCTCTCCCTTTGTCATATTTTTTTCATACTGTAAATATATCAGGACGAGAACATGTTAACGTGATCTGAATATGAACTAAGCTTTGTAAAATACCAACTGGATTTTAAAGTGCTATTCACAGGTTAAAAGTATGCTGGATGATTTGTCACCCTACGCAGACCCATTTTTCTGATTTCCAATCGACCAGTCTTTGCTCTTACTCTTACAATAACATGTAGCTTGCTTAGTGGAGAAGCAATTTTCAAGTCTTTGGTTTGAACTGGCTTTGGATTAAGCCTAAGATTCCTGCTCTAGAGTCGAGCACATTGTCATGAGACTACTATGGCAGTATAAATAAAAAGACGATTACAGAGTATGATCATGAGCTTTGTAGGAAAAATATGGTTCAATTGGAAATTAAAATGGATGGACTGCTAAAATGAATAAAATCAATTGTAAACCACAGTTTGCCCTAAAAATGAATATGAAGAAGAAGTATTCTACCATGAGAAATTATGCCATGAACACTCCATTACAGAAAAACAGTAAAAAGAATACACAACAAACATGACTGCTGGGATCCAAGTCATCCTCTACACTAATGTTTCCCAAGCACAAAAATTGCCACATGACATTTTTCCTGAAAGTCAAAGTCAAGCATGGTACAGGGGACTATTACTTACCGAAGGTTGTTTTTTGGCACTCCAGTTTCTACACAGGAAAAATTGCAACATATGTTTTTCATATGTTTTCAAAACATATGAAAAACATATGATTTTCATATGTTTTTCATATGTTTGTCCCAAACATATGAAAAACATATGTTTACAAACATATGTTTACATATGTTTTGAAACATATGAAAACATATGGAAGCAAACATATGTTTTCATATGTTTTAGATAATATGTTTACATATGTTTGTAAACATATGAAAAACATATGATTTTCATATGTTTTCATATGTTTTAAAGGACATTTAAAAAAAAAATGTTTTGAGAAAATGTCAAAATTTGTCATTTAATTATCACATACATTTTTTCATTCATTATCTATATAGTGTATTTATCAAACAGGAAAGTGCACTTTCTACTCTTCCCACTAAATCCCACATCATCGTGATGATAAAAGCATGTCAGCCCTCAGGCTATGTCACCCCCACAGCAGAGCTATCTAATTCTGAATGGAACATAATGTAAAATAAATGAATGAGTTATAGATATTAAATAATAATATGAATAAATATTCTGTATTTAGTTTGTTCTTTATTCTCAATTCTTTTTTTTTTATCAATAATCCCATTATTCTCTATGATTCTTTATTCCATATTTCTGCTTTTTTTAAGTATCTGTTCTTTATTTTTTTTGTTCTTTATTTTGCACTTTTTGTCATTATTTTCTATATTCTTAAACCCCAATCTTGATTCCAGACCATCAATATATACGTAAATGTAAGAAAGCTTGAATGGTACGTCGAATACGGAAACCCGGAAATCTTTTCACCGTTACCGTTTTTTATACTATGACGCAAAATCCATGGACGCTCACGCGATCTGCTGTTCAGCCTGTTGTCATTTAAAAAGTTTGAATGGACAGAGATAGATGATACAAAGAACTTTGGTTTTTCAAACTGGTGAATCAAAATTTATTATAAACAGATAAATTGAAATGGGTGACTTGTCGATTAACTGGAAGAAACTGGGGAACGAAACATAGAAAATTTATGGAAAGTCAACGCAACGAAACAGCGAAAGTGTTTTTGTTTTGATGGATAGTTTTACGTACCCTAAAAGCACAACGAAAGGTAAATATTATTATGCACATTTTGTTTAATTATTGGATAAAAGCAGGAAGATGTGTGTGCTTTATTTTTCACGAAAAACTATTTGACTGTAGATATTTGTAAACCCAGAGATATATGTCTCTGGTTAACAGGTTAACCTGAGTCTGAGAACGATATAATTTTGTAATATACATATAATTGCATTGGGTTATCCGTTTCATTATCTATTTATATGTCATAATGAGAATGTTACAAGATTAAGACACATATACACCCCAAATAACCATATAATTTGTAAACGCTTTAGACAATAAGACAAACTTGGAAAAGGGGGGGGGGGACATCATATACTTGATGTAATGTATTGAAATTGTTTATCTAATGTCACTACAGAACTTAATTACTTTAACTGATGCAGACCTGTATAATTGTGTCTTATGGTGTGTGACATTTGTATTTGTTTATCAGTTGTTTTAAAACCATGACACTGTGCAGACGACTTTATAATCTCTTTAGCAATTAGTAGCTATTTTACAATTAATAGATAAGGGTGCCCCTGGGGATCAATTACTCCCCCCTTTTCATTTAATTTAGATTTAAAAAATGTATATATACCTTTTCATACATTGCATAGGTAATAATGTACATGTACATGCATATTTAACCTATTCCAAATTTTAATTATGAGTGATTCCAGGACATGCTGGAGCGGACAAAAATCACATTCTAGCATTACCGAGAAAATCATCACATTTGATTAAAGCTCAAATCTGAAGCTCAAATTCCTTATGTTATGTTAACTTAACAATGCTTAAGGCAAAACAAGACTTGCAACTAAGAAAATTACAGGGCTTTGCATATGACAAGTACAATAAGCCTTAATTATCCTGAGTCTGAGACTACTATTGCTGAGTACTGTAACAATAAACATCTAATAATTCTTAGCCTTATCATACATGTATTATACTTCTGATAGTTTTCCACACCTATTCACATATTTTTAAGCTGAAAAATATGACCCAGGCTATTACAGCGGCAGGTCTTATCACCTTGTACATTATAAGAAGTGGACCCCTAGAGTGCATGAATGGTCTACTTTACATATACTTTAATGTGAATATAAAAATAAGAAGATAAGGTACATGTATGATTGCCAATGAGAAGAGTCCAATTCTCCACCAGAGATCAAATGACATAGAAGTTAACAACTATAATAAGTTATGGTACATGTACAAGATGACTTCAACAATGAGCAAAGCCCATACCACAAAGTCAGCTATAAAAGACATTTAATGAAAATGACAAATGTAAAACAATGCAAATGAGGAAACTAACAGACTGATACATGTAATGATTTATAAACAAAACAAGGAACAAATATATGATATGATATACAGCAACAAATTGAACAAACGACAACTTGAACCACTGAATTACAGGCTCCTGACTTTGGACAGGCACATACAGGATGTGGTGGAGTCAGACTAGTTTATTGGTGCCAAACCTTCCCCTTAAGGGAGTTATCATTTGTTTTTTATGTGTGTGTGGGGGGGGGGGGGGGGGGGGGTCTAGGATGAAATTTGAAAAAAAGGCAGGATGAGACACTTTGCCCCCAAGAAAAAGGCAGGATGACAATTGATGTAAAACAAAAGTCAGGATAAACTATAAATAAAAAAAAGACAGGACTGAATAGAGTGGAAAAATGGAAATGCAGGACAAACTTTTTCATCCTACCCCCCCCCCCCCCCCCCCCCCTAAATCAAATGGTAGCTCCCTAACATGGGATAGTGGTGTGAAAAGGCTTAACTCATCTGACATCAGATCTGTACAAAGCAGATTTAACCACTTTGATTCATCACACTTCATACTACGGTCATATGGATTTAATAAACATAAGATGGATTAGAACATTCAAATAGTTTAATACTTTTTATATAGCATGTATAGTTAATTTTTTTTTTAGGGCAAGTCTAGATCTGTTGTTCTTGTTTTAAAAGATCAAAATAATCAAATTTTGTCATATAAAAAATTTTAAGGCAATAAATTTGGCAGATATATTAATATTGTAACTTCATTTTATTATACATTTGTACAACATGTCATACATTATTTCTTTTAGCATTTTCAATGAAAGTACATTTTGTACTTCAAGAAGTAGAAGAATCTAAGCAACAGAACAGAATTCATTTGAGGCATTGCTTTCTAGATTATATAATGGATTCATAGATTGTCATATTGATTTATGTGCATATAAGGAGCAGCAGGCAATAATTATTTTGTGATGAGAGGTATGTAATGAAAAGGATAACTTTGTTTAAATATTTTCTTTATTCATGTAATATTTATGTATACCAAAGGTTTATTATATATACCAATAATGTCTTGGATAAATTATTTATACAGGAATTACTTCACTTTGAAATATAAATTCTATGGAAGATAACCAGTAAAGCACTGTTATGGTTACATTTTTTTATGCCCCCGCCGTAGCGGTGGGGGCATTAAGTTTTACCCTTGTCCGTCTGTACGTACGTATGTACGTACGTCCCAAAATTGGTTTCCGTTCTCTAACTTGAGTTTGCCTCAACCAAATGTTATGAAACTTATACACAATGCTTATTACCACAAAACACAGATCAAGTTTAAATTTTGGTGGCATCACTTTAATTGTTCTAGAGTTATGCCCCTTTATAAATGGAAAAATTGCAAAAATTTTAGTTTCCGTTCTCTAACTTAAGTTTGCCTCAACCAAATGTGATGAAACTTATACACAATGCTTATTACGAAATAACACAGATCAAGTATGAATTTTGGTGGCGTCACACTAACCGTTCTAGAGTTTTGCCCCTTTATAAATGGAAAAATTGCAAAATTTTTAGTTTCCATTCTGTAACTTAAGTTTGCCTCAACCAAACATTATGAAACCTATACACAATATTCATTACCACAAAACTAAGATAAAGTACAATTTTTTGTTTCTGTTTTCTAACTTTAGTTTGCCTCAACCAAATGTTATGAAACTTATACACAATGCTTATTACTACATAATACAGATTAAGTACGAAATTTGGTGGCGACACTTTTACCATTCTTGAGTTATGTCCCTTTATAAACATAAAAATTGCTGAATTTTCCGTTTCCGTTCTCTAACTTTAGTTTGTCTCAACCAAATGTTATAAAACTTATACACAACCGTTCTAAAGTTATGCATGTTTACAAATAGAAAAATTGCTGAATTTTTAGTTTCTTTTCTCTACTTGAGTTAGCCTCAACCGAATGTTATAAGACTTACACACAATGCTTATTACCACAAAATTTTTGGGTAGCGTCACTTTTACCGTTCTTCAGTTATGTCCCTTTATAACTATATGATATGCAAGCGGGGGCATCATCTGTGTCCACATGTGGACACTATCCACATTTATTGTCAAATATTTTTGTAATTCATACCATACATTTACATGTAGGTCTATATCAGCATAGGCTTTTATGAGTTAGAAAATAAGTGCTGATCAAATATGTTTACAGGAGTTATGCCTCTTGGAAATAGATATTGTAAGAAAAATTGTATTGCAAGCAATCCCACACACGTCTTCATTTCTTTTAGATTATTTATAATTTATGAAAAAGGTTAAAAGAACATACATATTTTTTGCTTTTTGATAGCAAATTTTATACATGTATATCCATCAACTGGCGAGGTACATTGAAAAGCTGTTCTTTTATTAAATGCATGAAGTATGGATGGTAACACAAATGACAACATATTATGTTCATGAGTTAATATTTCCTTGTCGGAAAATAGTATACGCGAAGTACTATCATTGAACTATGGTAACGTTGTCACCCTAACGTTGTAGTGAATGACGTTATTGTATAGATTTCATAGCTACAACGACGATTAAACGAACATTGCAATCATAAGTATTTATTGAGATTCCACAACATGCCTATAAATGGTGTATTTAAACAATTTGGCCTATTTAACAGGAAATCAAGATTTACTAAACATCAAGAGTAAAGGCCTTAATGTTGTTTTTTATACGACTGCAAAAAAAATTTGCAGTTGTATATTGGTTTCACGTAGTCTTTGTTGTCCGCGGCGGCAGAAGACACTTAGTTTCTGGACAATAACTTTAGTTTCAATGAATGGATCTCTATGAAATTTAAATACAAGGTTTGAAACCACAAAAGGGTGGTTGGAATTGATTTTGGGGGTTATGGTCTAAACAGTTTAGGAATTAAGGGCCTAAAAAGGGGTCAAAATAAACATTTTACTAGTTTCCAGCCAATATAACTTGTGTGTAAGTGTATGGATCTTTCTGAAATTTTACCACAAGGTTCCATACCAAAAAAGGAAGGTTGGAATTGAATTTGGGGGTTATGACCCTAACTGTTTATGAATTAGGGGCCAATAACAATACTTTTCTAATACTTTGTATAAATTGCTTATTTCTTGACCAATTTCAATGGGGTTTTATTCTTGAATTCTTGGGGTTCTTTAATATGCTGAATCTAACCATGTATTAAATTTTTGGATTTTGGGCCCCATTTTTAAATTGGTCAACATTGAGGTCCATAGGGTCCAAAATTAAACTTTGTTTGATTTCATCAAAAATTGAATTATTGGGGTTCTTTGATATGCCGAATCTAACCGTGTATTTCGATTTTTAATTTTTGGTCCTGTTTTCAAATTGGTATACATTAAGGTCCAAAGGGTCCAAAATTAAACTTAGTTTGATTTTAACAAAAAATGAATTCTTGGGGTCCTTTGATATGCTGAATCTAAACATGTATTTAGATTTTTCATTTTGGGCCCAGTTTTCAAGTTGGTCCAAATCGGGGTCCAAAATTAAACTTTTTTTTTGTTTGATTTCAACAAAAAATGAACATGTGGGATTCTTTGATATGCTAAATCTAACAGTGTATTAAGTTTTTGGATTTTGTGTCTCGTTTTTAAATTGGTCCTCATTGAGGTCCAAAGGGGCCAAAATTAAACTTTGTTTGATTTCATCAAAAATTGAATTATTGGGGTTCTTTGATATGCCGAATCTAACTGTGTATTTAGATTTTTAATTTTTGGTCCCGTTTTCAAATTGGTCTACATTAAGGTCCAAATGGTCCAATATAAAACTTAGTTTGATTTTAACAAAATTGAATTCTTCGGGTTCTTTGATATGCTGAATCTAAACATATATTTAGACTTTTGATTATGGGCCCAGTTTTCAAGTGGGTCCAAATCGGGTGCAAAATTTTAACTTTGTTTGATTTAAAAAAAAATGAATATATGGGGTTCTTTGATATGCTGAATCTAACCATGTATTTAGATTTTTGATTTTTGGGCTCTGTTATCAAATTGGTCCACATTGAGGTCAAAAGGGTTCATAATTAAACTTTGTTTGATTTCATCAAAAAATTTAATTCTTGGGGTTCTTTTATATGCTGAATCTAACGTTAACCGTGTATTTAAATTTAGGATATTGGACCATAATAGGTAAATGTCTAATTTAAAATTTTTAAGTTCTTAGACCACATTCATTCTGTGTCAGAAACCTATGCCATGTATGCTGTGTCAAATATTTAATCACAAACCAAATTCAGAGCTGTATCAAGCCTGAATATTGTGTCAATACTTGCCCCATCTGTTTGGGGTTCGACCTCTGCGGTCGTATCAAGCTGCGCCCTGGGGAGCATTTTATTTTAAACTGTAGACAGCAGAAAAGATCATTTTATATTAGAAAAAGTTCATACTATACTAAGACGGGCTTAGGCTATACATATATTATTAATATTAGTTACACTGTTGATCTTTTTGTTGTTTGTTACATATTTGTTTCCATTCACTCAAAAGTAAAAATATAAATTAGTGAGCAACAGTTCATACTACATCTACAAAAATGATCTTGTTTTTGTCTGGACTTCTGGATTAAATTAAGATTTACAATTTTAGCTTGTTACCATGGTTACCATATGAAAGGAAAGGACAGTATTAGAATCACTGGTGTACATGTAGGTGCGGATGTTAGGCAAAAAGAACTGGTATCAAAGTAAGTTCATCTGTAGAATTGCAGTTGATTTAAATAATTTAATGTTATCTATTTAAAACTTTTTCAAGTGTAATTGTACATGTTACAGCATGTATACCATGTATACTGTTGTTTATTTATGTCTTTCTGATGTCAAGTATGCATCAATTTGGTGGCCTTCGGCTGTTGTCTGCTCTATGGTCGGGTTGTTGTCTATTTGACACATTCCCCATTTCCATTCTCAATTTTATCAAGGAATCCTTCTTCTGCTCCACACACTCACACGCATGAGATGTCAGAAGTTAAAATAATTATAGCATTTGCTTATATTACAATGTATTATGAATTGTATATTTAAAAGTTGTTCTTGTCTTGAATATATACATAAAATATTTGCCACTGAACATTAAAATAAGCTAGAAAAATCAATCAATTATTGTTTTTGCATTATAGGAAAGAGTTTTCAAACATATAACAATTGAATAATTTCCTTTTAAGATTTTTTATGAACCAGCATATAGATATAATCTTTCAATCAGTTTAATTGAGGTCTGGAGCTGGCATGTCAGTAACTGCTAGTAGTCTGTTGTTATTTATGTATTATTGTCATTTTGTTTATTTTCTTTTGTTTCCTATTCTGACATCGGACTCAGACTTCTCTTGAACTGAGTTTTACTGTGCGTACTGTTGTACGTTTGTTTTTTCTACATTGGCTAGAGGTATAGGGGGAGGGTTGAGATATCAAAAAACATGTTTAACCCCGTCGCATTTTTGCGCCTGTCCCAAGTCAGGAGCCTCTGGCCTTTGTTAGTCTTGTATCATTTTTAATTTTAGTTTCTTGTGTATAATTTGGAGTTTAGTATGGCGTCCATTATCACTGAACTAGTATACATATTTGTTTAGGGGCCAGCTGAAGGACGCCTCCGGGTGCGGGAGTTTCTCGCTGCATTGAAGACCCATTGGTGGCCTTCGGCTGTTGTATGATCTATGGTCGGGTTGTTGTCTCTTTGACACATTCCCCATTTCCATTCTCAATTTTATTTTATAACATGTTTAACATGTATGAGGAGATGACGTACATGTATGATTCTCAATATGACAACTATCAATTAAAAAACCAAAGGACGAAGATGTAAACATTTCCTGGTCACTGTACAGCCATAAACAATGATCAAAATCCATACCATAAAGTAACCTATTATGGCTATAACTTGTATAGGGATGAAAAAATGGGAACCAATGAAAAAAATAAAACTACACACAGTATGGCAGACAGCACCCAACATAAGAAACAAATGTCAAAATCAGCCAGAAAGGGCTGGACTCATCAACAAGCACTTAAAAAGAAATAACAAAATAATAAAAGATGCAAAAATTATGTTTTCCCAAACTAAAATATCTATCAATTCACATTCAACAGATTGAATCAATTAATGTAACAACAAAACATTTGTCATTTCAAACAGTCTAAGAAAGCATGACTTTGTGAAATGCCAACACACAAGAAAATGTAGGACCATAACAGCATATAAGTTATTAATAATTGCATAGAATTTCTATTTCTGAAATACATGTTCTGCTTTTTGTCAAGTTTGCTAATTTATTTCACGAAAGCGAGACAGTGATCCTAGATTCTGCCAGGGGCGGCGTCACTGTCTTAAAGTTTAGGTTCAGTCTGTGGTTAAAGTTTTTTTGTAATGTTAATTTCTCTCTTATTAATATTATTTATAGTAATCATGGTAATAGGATATTTCTATTTACTTAGTATGTGGGTACCTTGCAAGGTCCTATAGCTAGTGTCTGTCTACTCTGTCAGAAAGTTTTCGTGGTCAAGTCAATATCTCAGGTATTATAAACAATAAGTTATACTTACTATATTTGGTGTATGGAATTATTGTAAGGTGTAGATGTCCAACTGGCAGTTGTAATGATGGCCGATTGAATTTTTTCAAAAGAGTTATGCCTCTTGGAAATATTAAATTTATGGAAAATGGCCTCGTAAATGCTCTCATTTTTTTTATTATATTAGTATACTATTATAGTAATGCCCTTGAAGGTCAGTTTGAAATATTTAGTATACAAGAAAAAGAATTTTTTTTTTCCCCCAAGCACATTTTTTATTTATAAATATTTTTGAGAACAAAAAAACATGTTTTTTTTTTTTAATCATGTTAATATTGCCCCTTGATAGATAAACTAGAGGCTCTCAAGAGCCTGTGTCGCTCACCTGACTCTACTTGGGTTTTCGAAATCATATTAAAAAAGATAAAAATCATAACAGATACTTATAATAATGTTTGAGGCCAAATTTGGTTTAATATTGCTATGTTTGCTTTCATTCCATTCAGTGGTTCTCTAAAAGAAGACATTTGTATGTATTTCCCGTAGGGTCCTTTGTTAAACTAAGCCCCCCGCTGGTGGCCATCTTGGATGATGGATCAGATACAAAGTAACAACACTTGGTCAGCACCTCATAAGGAACATTCATGCTATGTTTGGTTTCATTCCATTCAGTGGTTCTCTAAAAGAAGACATTTGTATGTATTTCCCATAGGGTCCTTTGTTAAACTAAGCATCCTGCTGGTTGCCATCTTGGATGATGGATCAGCTTCAAAGTAACAACACTTGGTCAGCACCTCATAAGGAACATTCATGCTATATTTTGTTCCAATCCATTCAGTGGTTCTCTAGAAGAAGTTAAAAATGTAAAAAGTTAACGACAACGGACGCCAAGTGATCAGAATAGCTCACTTCGGGCCAGGTGAGCTAAAAATGTGCGACTAGGTGGACATTGAAACTCTGTTCTTTTATTTCTACTTGCAGGAACTGAAAAGTAAAGAAACAGAACCAAAGAACATTAATTTTTAATTAATACAATATTGAGCTCAAAGTCAATCTAGTTGTCTTTCTTAATCATACAGGATATTTCCAAAAAGCAGCTGCATACACATGCACCAGTAATAGCCAGCAGTGTAGACAATTACATATCTGTGTATGGTGATATAGCAATAGAAATATCACATATATACATCATACGAAAATATAATATAGACAATAGAAATGGAGTACACATGTATGTCATAGAGACACACATATGAAAATAGAATATAGACAATAGAAATGGGGTATGTCAAAGAGACACACATGTGAAAATAGAATATAGACAATAGAAATGGGGTATGTCAAAGAGACACACATATGAAAATATAATATAGACAATAGAAATGGGGTATGTCAAAGAGACACACATATGAAAATATAATATAGACAATAGAAATGGGGTATGTCAAAGAGACAAACATATGAAAATATAATATAGACAATAGAAATGGGATATGTCAAAGAGACACACATATGAAAATATAATATAGACAATAGAAATGGAGTATGTCAAAGAGACACACATATGAAAATATAATATAGACAATAGAAATGGGGTATGTCAAAGAGACACACATATGAAAATATAATATAGACAATAGAAATGGAGTATGTCAAAGAGACACATATGAAAATAGAATATAGACAATAAAATTGGGGTATGTCAAAGAGACAAACATGAAAATAGAATATAGACAATACAAAATGGGGTATGTCAAAGAGACTAACATATGAAAATATAATATAGACAATAGAAATGGGGTATGTCAAAGAGACACACATATGAAAATAGAATATAGACAATACTAGAAATGGTGTATGTCGAAGAGACAAACAAATGAAAATAGAATATAACAATAGAAATATGGTACAATGTATGTCAAAGAGACAAAAATATGAAAATAAAAGAGACAACAACTGAATAAAAAAAAAATTCTACTTTATATAAAAATTATGGAGCACTTATTGTTTTTTATTTGTTTGAGCTTTTGATTTTGCCATGTATTTTCTGTGGAGTTTGGTATTTTGGGTATTTTTACTTTTTAAAGCAACAACTCATCACAATGAAGTATTTACACTCAAAATGAGTTCTTGACAGAAAAAAAAGATAACAAATTAAAGAAAAACATATTAAAAAACATCAAAACGTTACCCTTAAAAACCTATCGCAAAAAAAAAAAATATATATATATACAAACCATGTTTAGAATCTATTAGAAAATAAATGCATTTGAACAATTAAAAACATATAAAAAATATATATTTAGGACCAAGATAAAATCATATGAAAACATATGTTTGGGCCAAACATATGAAAACATATGTTTAGGGCAAACATATGAAAACATACGTTTAGGCCAGGTATGAAAACATATGAAAAACATATGTTTGTAAAAAACATATGAAAAACATATGTTTTTCATATGTTTACATGTATGAAAAACATATGTTTTTCATATGATTTTAAAAACATATGTTTTTCATATGTTTTCCATATGTTTTTCATATGTTCGAAAACATATGTTTTCATGTCGGGCCTAAACATATGTTTACATATGTTTTCAAACATATGAAAAACATATGTTAAACATATGAAAACATATGGTGCAATTTTTCCTATGTAGCACAATAAAAATATGCCACAAAATTGTATGAATACATGGAATGTGGTTTTGAACACAGACAACGACAGTTGATTTATTTATGATATATACAGTTATCCTGATTGTAATGCAATGATATAAAATAGTCATTTTGATTTTAGAATTAGAGCCTGAGGAAACATTGTTTGTGTCTTTATGTTTTGTGGATTTTAATCCAAACATTTAGTCAATTATAATCAGTGTTACAAATAAATTTCATTGAAATCATATAGATAATATTCCTCAAAGCATTGTGTTAAAATTATTGAATGCCAAGACATCAATGGTTGATTTGTAAAGTTATCCCACAATAGAAATTGTAAGTAAGTATTGACCAGTAAGATAAATTTTTAATACTCTGATTACAGTGCAGCTTCATTGCTCAGTTATCCAATGAAGAACAAAGTCCCACTCAATTATATGATTGTAGAGGTAAGTGTTTTATATATTGGAATGTTCTTGTGTTTTAAGTTATTATTCTGTCTTTGTCTTTGAATATAAGAATAAGAAGATGGGGTATGATTGCAATGAGACAAATATCCATCAAAGTTCAAAGGATGGGATTTTTAGTCACTGTACGGCCTTCAACAATGAAGAAAACCCATACCTGTAAAGTAAGCTATAAAAGTCCCTAGAACATTGTAGAATAAAGAATTGTGACCCTGAACCAGACCCAGTATATACTACTATTAACATGATAAATGTAGAAGTTGAATTGTCTTTTATTATTCATTTTTAGTAAAGCTTGAAGCCATTACAAAACTCAAATTAGAATTTTCTGAGTTAATGTACTTAGGACTAAGCCACTGCAAAAGTAAGTCCACATAATCAACCTAAAAATGTCTTCATGAGAAATCTGAGGACTATTCTGATGTAGTTACAGATAATTTTAAACTTGGAATTGTAATGTATAGCCTATCCCTTCAACTTTGAATTATCTTTATTTTTATGCCCCCGCCGTAGCGGAGGGGGCATTAAGTTTTACCCTTGTCCGTCTGTATGTCCGTACGTACGTCCGTCTGTATGTCCGTACGTCCCAAAGTTGGTTTCCGTTCTCTAACTTTAGATTGCCTCAACCAAATGTTATGAAACTTATACACAATGCTTATTACCACAAAATGCAGATCAAGTTTGAATTTTGGTGGCATCACTTTAGCCGTTCTAGAGAGATGCCCCTTTACAAATGGAAAAATTGCTGATTTTTTTTTTTTCCGTTCTCTAACTTAAGTTGGCCTCAACCAAATATTATGAAACTTATACACAATGCTTATTACCACAAAATACAGATCAAGTTTGAATTTTGGGGGTGTCACTTTTATTGTTTTAGAGTAATGCCCCTTTACAAAGTGAAAAATTGCTGAATTTTTCGTTTCCGTTCTCTAACTTAAGTTTGCTTCAACCAAATGCTATGAAACTTTTACACAATGCTTATTACCACAAAATGCAGATCAAGTCGGAATTTTGGTGGTGTCACTTTAACCATTCTAGAGTTATGCCCCTTTACAAATGGAAAAATTGCTGAATTTTTTGTTTCCGTTCTCTAACTTAAGTTAGCCTCAATTAAATGTTATGAAACTTATACACAATGCTTATTGCTACAAAATACAGATCAAATTTGTTTTTTTTAGGTGTCACTCTTATTGTTCTAGAGTTATGCCCCTTTACAAATGGAAAAATTGCTGAATTTTTCGTTTCCGTTCTCTAACTTAAGTTTGCCTCAACCAAATGCTATGAAACTTTTACACAATGCTTATTACCACAAAATGCAGATCAAGTCGGAATTTTGGTGGTGTCACTTTAACCATTCTAGAGTTATGCCCCTTTACAAATGGAAAAATTGCTGAATTTTTTGTTTCCGTTCTCTCACTTAAGTTAGCCTCAATTAAATGTTATGAAACTTATACACAATGCTTATTGCTACAAAATACAGATCAAATTTGTTTTTTTTAGGTGTCACTCTTATTGTTCTAGAGTTATGCCCCTTTACAAATGGAAAAATTGCTGAATTTTTCGTTTCCGTTCTCTAACTTAAGTTTGCCTCAACCAAATGTTATGAAACTTATACACAATTGTTATTACCACAAAACTCAGATCAAATACAAATTTGGGTAGCGTCACTATTACCGTTTTTCAGTTATGTCCCTTTATAACTTTATATGATAGACCACGGGGGCATCATCTGTGTCAACATAGACACATTCCCCATTTATTTTGGTATATGTATATTTTTATGGTTATTAACATTTTGTATATTTCAGGTGATGTTTGGAGAATTGTTTTTGTTACCACGGTGTCCAAGACTAGAGATTTATTATGGTTCCACATTTATTGAGTTATGTAAACTACAGCCTGGATCAATGCCCCAAGTTGTATCCTTTCATATTGTTTTATTCATTACCAGATAATTATTATATTTTTAGCTCACATAACACTATAGCTTTTTAAAATTCAATAGTTATGTAAAAATATTTCCCTATTATCTTTGGGTGAATGAATGCTGTATATTTAGAAATTATTGCTGTGTTTTTATAATTGCAAAATATGCGACTGAATAACATAAAAACTTGCAATTTAAATATTGATAGCATTAATTACTTTATACTCATTTCTTTAAATCACAATAATTTATCTCACATTTTTTGGCAGTTGTTTAACTATCGCAATGCACACAAAACTTTCAAAGGTAAATATAACAATAAGCACCATTTTGTATTTTAACATATTTAAAGTGTTATGATAGTATTGAGATAACACAAAATTCAAATTAATATTTCACCAATTTGATATTTATAAATACATCGTATAGCTATAATAACTTTAATAATTTCAAAAGTTGTTTATATTGTTTTACTGTATTTGTACCAGTACATTTTATTGAAACTTAACATGGATCAGCTAGCTCAAGCCACAGAACTTTTATTTGAAAGGATTGATTCAATGAATCTCTCATGTATTGAACGGTTAGAAGAATACAGTATAAAAAAATAGCTCAAGTTAGATAACAGAACAATTTAGTTTTTGTATGTGATTGAAAAAAGTTTTGGGGTAGATAAATGTTTCAAGGGAATTATTTTATACTCATTTAAATAGAAAACTGGTGTGTCAAGTTAAAAAAACACACCATTTAATCAAATCTTCAGTATGTAGAAATAAATGAATTATATCAGGAATTTATTTCTTATGGGAAAAAATCCTGAATTTCAAATATTACAAATGACCTTCCATTAAAAATATTCTTTTGTATGATTCTTGGGTGTTTTTTATTGTGACTCATTTTGCATTGTTTTCTTTGTAACATAGACTTACCAACTGGTTTGCTTATCACTTGAGTAATTTCCAGTTTCGATGGAGTTGGGATGATTGGAGTTCATGTTTACAAATGGATCCAGAATTACCCAAACCAAAGTTTATTAAAGAAGTTCTTATCAAATGTATGAGGTATGTCTACAAATTAATTTAAGAAGTTCTTATCAAATGCTATATGAGATATGTCGACAAATTAATTAAAGAAGTTCTTATCAAATGTATGAGGTATGTCTACAAATTAATTGATTTAGATCAATTACTTTTCGGAATAATATAAATTGGACATAAAAAATTTAACAATATCTTATATAAATTTTTTATGCCCCCGCCGTAGCGGAGGGGGCATTAATTTTTACCCTTGTCCGTCCGTACGTTCCAAAATTGGTTTCCGTTCTCTAACTTTAGTTTGCCTCAACCAAATGTGATAAAACTTATGCACAATGCTAATTACCAAGTTATCAAGTTCGAATTTTGGTGGCGTCACTTTTACTGTTTTAGAGTTATGCCCCTTTACAAATGGAAAAATTACTGAATTTTTTGTTTCCGTTCTCTAACTTAAGTTTGCCTCAATTAAATGTTATGAAACATATACACAATGCTTATTACCACAAAACTCTGATCAAGTACAAATTTGGCTAGCGTCTCTTTTACAGTTCTTGAGTTATGTCCCTTTTTAACGTTATATGCAAGCGGGGGCATCATCTGTGTCCCATGGACACATTCCCCATTTATTTTTGATGTTTAAAAAAACAGGACTTAAAGAAGGTAATTTCAAGTATATGTATACATGTTGTGTACAAGATGCAAGTTTATACAAATTATAATTTGAACAAGGTTTTTGTACAAGTAAGTTTTTTGACACATACCTTTTTGCACCAGGTGATAAAAATTTATCTTCTAAAATTTATCAGCTTAATGTCTTAAATTCAAATTTATATACTTCAACCTAACATTTAGTGCTATTCTCCTTGTCCTAAAACTGGAAATAAGGACACCTGAATGGTTTAAATTCTATTTTTACTCTTCTCCTTATACCAAAATGACATCCTTAAAAAGTCTATTTGTTTTCTTATAATGTTTTTTGTATCAATGCTCAGTATTAGACTGTATCATGTAATCATGGAAATATGACAGAAATAAAACACTGTTAACTTGTACAAAAATTCTGTACTAACTATAATCTGTACAACATTACAATTTGTACACAACATATACATGAAGAAGAAATGTGAACAGAACTACCCAAATATGAGGATGCTTGAAAACAAATGTGCTTGGTATTTGGGAAATACATCACTTTTATATTTGAGACTAAACAGAAAAGCTGTCATAACTATGATATTGAAATAAAAAAACAATGTATTATACAATTTCAGATTATCCTACCATCAAAGAATTGTGGAGACTTGTACTGAGGATTTTGCACCATTGATACCAGAGAAACCCCAGTCTAATTTCAAATATGAGAAGGAAGGATCAGGGTCATTACCAGGGACTATGACAGCTCATCAGCTGATCCAAGCTATCAAATCAAAATGTACTCCAGAGGAAACTATGGTGATATTGAAAGATTTACCCAACCCCCTGAAAGAAGATGATGAAAGTTAGTCTAATAACAAAATCCTAAATTGGTGTTGATTGAATTTACTTTAAGGATGTTCTTCTATATATAGGTAGTTCTGACAGTCAATTCATAAAATATTTTTTGTAAAAGATAAATTTATAATTTGTTTTACCTATTTCTTTTATTTTAAAAAGATCAAGTGTGTTTTTGTCCATTGTAAAGAGTAAGAAAGCTTTAAAAACAATAGGGTTATGTTTTAATTGAAATTAATTGAATGTCTTTTTCAGCTGATCCAACATACCACCCACTGAGAATTGATGTATTTGTGTCTACATTGCTACATTTAGGGAACAAATCATTCAGTCACTCTTTTGCAGCTATTGCCAAGTATGTATTACTCTGTCGATTGCCAAGAATGATTTACACTGTGAATTGCCATGTATGTTTTATTCTGTCAATTGCCAAGTATGTATTACTCTGTTAATTGCCAAGAATGATTTACACTGTTAATTGCCATGTATGTATTACACTGCTAAGATCTCTGGTGAAGACAGTTTCACGCATGCTTATAACATAGTAAGTAATCATACATTTGACTTGTGAAAAATTACCTTTTCGTACATAATTTAATAAAAAAAGTTTCTATTTTTAAATTGGAATTGGCTGTCTTTGCTGAAAAGTTATTAAACAATATTAAAGTGATAATAATTTGTCATGGAATAGAATTTCTTTATAATAGTATTTCTGAGCTTGATCATGTCTGTCGGGTATTACAGATAAAAAGTGATTAGCAATCGTTAGCAAAATCTCCCAGAGGTATTAAGGTATTATTATGGTTTTTAGGAGGGAATTTTGTGCAAAATGCTGATTAAGAAAGCTGATCTCAAAGAAATGACCGAAATTATTTCTGAAATTTTTTTTTGGTCAATGACCTTTCAATTTAGGTCATGTCTGTCAAATATGACCATTTCAGGACATCCTTGGTTGAGACTAATGGTTGAGAATTTATTTATGTAGTTTTATGAAAATTCTTTGTGTGATATGTAGATAATGTTGACCAGTAACCATTATAATTGAATACAAATTTAATATTTCCTCTATTTTGTTGATGTATGTATGAGTCAAAATATCTCAAATTAAACAATTTTGTTGTTAGATTCCACCACATTTTAAAGTTACTAGCAGACACAGAAGAAGGACAGATTTGGGTTTTACGGACAATGTTTGAAGTTTGGAGATCTCACCAACAAGTAAGCTACTGTCAGATTTAGTAGAGATGTTGGGGATGAATATTCAAGATTTTTTTTTTCTAGTTATGCCCCCGCCGTAGCGGAGGGGACATTAAGTTTTACCCTTGTATGTCCGTCCGTACGTCCCAAAGTTTTACTTTTTTTTCTGGTTATCAGCAATGAAATTTCAGCCATCAAATTTTTGAAGGTGTGTATTAATTTGATAAAACCAGAAGATCCTGAAAGAGTCTAGAAAAAAAAGAAAGTAAAATGGAGTGTTTTCAGATTCTTGTAATCAAAGCTTGGACACATCACCAGTAATCAGATTGGATTGTATACCTCTTAATGTATATTTCATATTAAAAATTTCTACCTTGCAGCATTTTTAAACAAAATATCTATTTATGTCAGAAGTATTTTAAAGTATGTTCATATTTCTGCATGGTCTTCCTGCTTTTATCAAGGTGAAGAAAGTAGGCTGAATTATTTGAAACATCTTGTGAGTATGAATCACATGCAGTTTATCTGTTTCAGATGATGGTAGTTTTAGTGGACAAATTGTTAAAGACACAAATCATAGAACCCTCAGCTGTTGCTAACTGGTTGTTCTCAAGTGAAATGCAACCAGAATTTACAAAGTAAGTCCTTTAAAAGGAAATAATCTAGTATGAAAGCATTTGTATGTGGTAATTTGTTGTAAGGAGTATACATCTATCTAACTTCTTATGTTACTGAATTCAGTTAACTTTTAAACTACAGCTTTCTGGCTCATGCTTTTGTGAGATTGTTAAAAATTTATGCTTTCTATATTTACACAAAAAAGAACTGTCTTTGTTGCATTGAAGTTCTCTTTATCTTTATATTTGTTGATGGGTTGATCATGTTTTCAACTGGCTTTTAGTTAATATGTCTTGGAATAGTAAGGTATTTTCTTGGTGTACGATTTAATGGAACATTTGGAGTTTATTTTTTTCATCTTCATTCCTGTAAAGTTGTCCCTTTTTAAGTCATTGGGCATATAAGATACACTACTGGTATTGTAATATATGTTGGAAGCATATCTTACAGCTCGTCTTTGCAGTCGTTCTAATCTCTTTCTATTTTCTGAATATGTGGATCCTCAACTGACTTTTACTTAGTTCTACCTGAGCAATATTGGTTTAAACACCTGCCATTTCATGAAATTATAAAATCTATAAATAGATTTAAACATTTATTTTATTTCAATTTTAAAGATATTTTATTAACAATCACATGTTACATAAACCCTAAATTGTCCAAAAAATAAGTATAATCTATAAATAGAATTTACAACTTAAAGCAGACAATTATCAGTTGTAAATATAAGAAACAATTTGTTTCCAGATTTTATGTCTGGGAGATAATGCACAGTACAATAACAAAGATGAGTAAACACGTTGATAAACTACAGAAAGAAGTCGATGATGCTAAAGACAAGTTAGATGCTTACAAAAGAAGGGTATGTTGTATTTAGGCATAATTTGCTATTTTCTTTAGTTAAGGGAGTGCCAATTTGGTACTTAAGCCCTGGATTCATTGGATTGTCAATACATCTGCTGTTGCTGAATGATATGTAGCTAGGATTACTGTAAATTAGAAGAAAGAAAATGATGTTTTTCATATGTGAAAATTGCAATGAGATAAGTTTTGCAAAAATAAAACTTGCATTTTATATTTTGATAGCATTATTTTTATTCAGCATTTCCTGGACTGGTAATAATTAATATCACTTTTGTCCATTGATCATTAATGGCAATAGTAAAAGCAAAAAGAAATTTCTAAATTTACTGTATTACACCAATAAAATGAATACCACCAGTAAGTATTTATGTCTTCCCCTTTAATTGGTTTGTAAAATGTGTGTATTTGTAGATAAATGATGGTTTAGAGGATGACGATGATGATGATGTACCTACAGAATCTCTGATAGAGAGAATGGAGGAGAGATTAGATCTGGCACAAAATCAACAAAAGAGACTTTTTCTTATCATATTTCAGGTATTGTAATATCTACTAAGGTGAATCCTTCCTAAATAACAGTAATAATTTCTCTGACAATTTAATATGAACACTATTGGTTTAATTGTGAAGATGTCTTGTTTTCCCATGATATAACAATATCAGAATGAGCTAAAACCAAATACTCAACAGAAGTTTAAATTTTGTTTGGGTGCAAGTATCATTCTTTTTTCCAGAAATTTGTGGTTTCTGCTTTTAGTATATAAATTCAATAGAAAAAACAACAATTCATTTGGTATTTGATTTAATAAAAATGTATAGAAAATGATATCCCAACAAATCATATTTCCAAAATATGTATGAATGTACAAACATAACTTTCATTTTCAACTATAAATGTAATGAACGCATTGTTAACCTAACTAACTTCATATCAGCTTATCAAGGCCATGCAAAATTAAGTCTTGGTTCTCAGATAAGTTGATTTTTTTAAAAGGTCTTCATTGGTTGCAATTGGTATTTTACATATTGTGGTTTGTTTATAAATGTTAGTGGTATACCAATTTGTCGTGAGTAGCGAAAAAAACCCATGAATTAAAATACTTAACTAAGTACTAATTTTGAGTTACTTTGATTGGAGCAAATGATGAACCCATGATATTAAGGACCTTTGAAATAGCATTTTGTTCTCCATATACGAAAATGCCTATGAAAATAAATAAATCCATCTACATACCACACACCATCATACATATATTTATATGTCAACATTTGTTGATTGAGATCTACATACTACACTCCATCATACATATATTTATATGTCTACATTTGTGGATTGAGATTTACATACCACACCCCATCATACATATATTTATATGCCAACATTTGTGGATTGAGATCTACATACCACACACATTTGTGGATTGAGATCTACATACCACACCCCATCATACATATATTTATATGCCAATATTTGTGGATTGAGATCTACATACCACACTCCATCATACATATATTTATATGCCAACATTTGTGGATTGAGATCTACATACCACACCCCATCATACATATATTTATATGCCAATATTTGTGGATTGAGATCTACATACCACACATCATCATACATACCGTATATTTATATGCCAACATTTGTGGATTGAGATCTACATACCACACACCATCATACATATATTTATATGTCAACATTTGTGGATTGAGATCTAAATACATATATTTATATGTCAACATTTGTGGATTGAGATCTAAATACCACACACCATCATACATATATTTATATGCCAACATTTGTGGATTGAGATCTACATACTACACTTCATCATACATATATTTATATGCCAACATTTGTGGATTGAGATCTACATACCACACACCATCATACATATATGTATATGCCAACATTTGTGGATTGAGATCTACATACCACACACCATCATACATATATTTATATGCCAACATTTGTGGATTGAGATCTACATACTACACTCCATCGTACACATCTTCCATGAAGTTTATATTTTAGAGATTAAGCATGAATTTATCAAACCATCATACCAAATGTAATCTACATCAGAATTTATCCTTTATTTATATTTTTATGTGTTTCTTTTATATATTTCAGAGATTTATTATGGTTTTATCGGACCATCTTGCCAACTGTGAGTCCAATGGCATTGATTACAGCACACCATGGTATAAATGGTGCATAGAAAGATTACAGCAAATATTCCTTTTAGTAAGTCATTAAAATCAATGATCACATGACTTGTACTGTTAAGGTTGTATGTAAAATTGAGAATGGAAATGGGGAATGTGTCAAAGAGACAACAACCTGACCATAGAGCAGACAACAGCCGAAGGCCACCAATGGGTCTTCAATGCAGCGAGAAACTCCCGCACCCGGAGGCGTCCTTCAGCTGGCCCCTAAACAAATATGTATACTAGTTCAGTGATAATGGACGTCATACTAAACTCCCAAGTTTCTTTCAAGGTCATGGCAAATAATGGAACTTCCCATATCTGTTCTAGATAGCTTAACCTAGTGTAGTAACCTCTAATGGTATGTCAAATAAAACCATACTGATCTAGTACTATTTACCAGCAGGGACACCGTTAACAAATTCGATGTTGCCTACCCATGCCTTGTAAGGTTGGGTAGGTAGGTAGGGATTTTAAAATTTTTTTGCAAACAACATTAATACAGGAAAACAACGTTGGAGTATGACCAAAAATTTTAAAAAGATTTGTGTCATAAAATTTTTCAGGTAGGCTGCTTTTTAGGTTGGTTGGTAGGCAACATCACACAAATTTAAATATTATTTTTGGCCCAGAAAATCACATTTCTATGCGCTGTGGTGCAGGGGGTATTAAAGGGAAACTTCGCAAAAAAATGAAAAATTGATATTATGTTCGTTATGTATAAAAAAGCACAAATTCATAAATATTAAAGTTTTATTCTGCTAGATAAGAGATCACCATCGATTTTAAATTTAGAGTATCAATTCTCCGCATGCAGCCATTTTGGCATCCTCCCTGATTAGAAACCACGATATATCTATAAACCACAAAGTACCAAAACAAGCAGTAACCTAACGTAGCCGTAATTGAGTGTCGATATCTTGTCCAGCGTACGGTTGTTTTATCCGACAAGGAAAGCATAAACAGTTTCCCGGGTCACAAAAAAGGTTATAATAGATATGGTTGTGCAACCTTTCCTAACTAACTTGATACGGAAAATGTAATTATATATATTTTTTTTAAATAACTAGTACTATGGTCTGTCGTTTTAAAACTGTTTTTTTTTTAACTAAGTTTTTGAAACAAGAAATTTTAATGGAAATTAGTTTATAGTCAAAGTTCAAAGTCATAAATAAGTGTTCCGTGTAAAATTGTTTTCGAAAATCTAGTTTGTTCATAATTCTTTTATGTAATAAACTTATTTAAATAAATTCGGACCTTCCCTTATCTGATCACTAGCATGGCTTAAGAAATCCCAGAGGTATTGTGAGGTGACACGTCCAGGTATTCAAGCGATTTCCTGTCGGGCTTTAAAACTCTTATTACACAATTATGTAAAGCAAGTTCGTGCATCACTTCACTTCTGAGAGTATTGATCAGTGTACACGGCCGATAACTTGTAACTTTCCATTTTGAAACTATCAGGTGTAATATACATCTTTGTCTTGCGTGTCCGATAGTGATATACTAGTCATTACTAAACTCATACGCTTGTTTATAAATAACCTTTCTGGTGTAAAGAATGATATTTATGAAAATCTAAATAATTCCCAAAAAAAAGATTTGATAAAATAAAAAATCTATTTACATATTTTCCAAGGGTAAATTCGGGAAAATGTAAGTATATACTCGTTGTCAATAAGTATGGACATCTTGAAACATACAAATATTGATTTAACAAAATGTACGCACTTGTCGATCATTGGTTTATACGCCTAGATAGAAGGTTACGGAACTATAGATAGTCGCAATTTAGAATATATACATGTAAATTGAATATACGAGATAAACATCCAGAACCAGTCTGATTTAAATACAGTTCGATATATTACTTGCTTTGGTTCATCGAAGTTATGGACATAGTAAAATCACAGATTTATTTTTCAATAAGATTATTTTGAACAGTTTAAGAAATTAGTCATCATCACAATTTTTGGGTATAATGTATAATAATGTGAACATGGTTCTAAAAGTACCTGATGTCAATTTTCCTGTTCCAACATGCATCTAATATATATGCCACTGGACGTACACTAATGATCCCCAAAAAGCCTATTTGAAGAAATAAAGAAACTTCACTGCGGATAGACTGATAGTAGTTGTATTAACGTCTGGTCAGCTAGAGGGTTGATTAATTTATTTAGTTAGCTTGTGGTGGTAATAAACCATTCCCAATATTGCACTTATGCATAAAATATCAAATGAGAGTAATATAAGAGAAAATATAAATACGAAAAGTCGCATATCTGGTACAAAAAGTCTCACCATGAACTATAGGATTTTACGTACGATTGTCATTCTTAATCGAAATAACGGACAGTCATTTAAATACATGCATGAATGCTGTGATAAAAAGGGGTGTCGCAGTTGCAAAGTATTCATCATAAATCTATTTCAAGTTTATACTTTCCTGTTATTTTTATAAGTTCACGCAGAGACATGTATACATCTCTAGCTAACGACAATCAACTATATAAATATCTGAATCTGATGTGATTTACTGTTCATGTCTTTCTTTTTCTCCTTTTTTGTTATTTTGGCAGGAATATATACATTCTAAGATATACTGTTCCCAGGTTTGGGGAGGGGGGGGTTGGAGTTCATGTCTATCGAAAGTTACAAAATAAGAACGGTGTATTTATGAATTTACAAGAAGAATTCTGTTCTTGGGCGTAGTTTTCTTCTTATTTTTAGTTCAGTGACTTAAATTGAGAAAAAAAAATCTAGTCAGAATTTAAATTTAATTGTTCCGGCAATCCCCCACCTAAGACGCCTCTAAAATAATGAATGGTCATGCTTCACAATCATCAGAATTTTCGTTGCATTGGTATATTCTGTATCAGTAGTGATTAACCTTGACATTTCCGGGTATAACAGAGCTACTTGTATATTACCTGTATGTGGTTAGGTGATCTTAGGTGACGTCCCATGAGGTCTTACGTATACAGGTTCACATTTATAATGGTTTCTGATATAACAATTAGGTTTTATGACATTCACACTTCTGCATGTTCTGTATACCAAATTCTTATCCTTTTTTCAGACCGAATGAGAATGTGAATATTTTCCGGGAAAAATATTGAGTATCAAATTAATTTCGGGATTTTTTTCTTTCTTGGTATTAAATCACAGAAATTTAAAGAATATACTGCTTGTCCGTTTTAGAAGTTTTCTTGTCAGTTTAAACAGACGTATATATGTCTCTGGTTAAGAGTGGGGTTATGAATGAATGATAAGTCTTGCAAAGGTACAAGATATAAAGCACATTGAAAATTGATTCCGCCGGTCTTTCTCCATTCAAAAAAGGAAAGTTGATGTTAGATTGATTCTGTTAATTTTTTAAAACATCGTTGGTCAAATAGCTAAAGAATTTATACGTTGTGAGATTTAGAATATTTTAATCAGGGCATTCCAGATTAGGTAAATGTAGATCGCTTTGGACGGACCAAACTATATTAATGTAACTGATAATTTTCTCTGCACATTTAAATAAATATTCAAGGTTGCCGATGATAATTTGAAATAGTACAGTTTTGATTTATACGCTCGTTTTCGTGAGCCATTTTTATCTATGAAATTATTTAATTGAAAGTAATTCAGAATTTCGATGTTACAACACAATTATGATCACTTATTTATTAAAAAATTGAGCTAACACAAAATATTAAAAAATATAAAACGGCGATTCAGTTATTTTGCCACCATATTCCTCCCCAAATAATAAAAAAAAAATATCCTGTCTCAAACCCGCACTTTTGTTTTATCCTTTTTTTCCCCATGTTTTTCATACAACGGTGAACCCTTGAGGCCAAACAAAACTCTCGTGAAGATCAAAAGATTAACAAATGGAAGTTTTTAACGACCTTGACTGGCTATACAGCCCTTGCACGGTCGGTAAAAGATTAAAATTACATAATGCTAATCTTATAATAACCGTGAATTTAACCACGCCTTTACCAGGTGGTGTCAGTATAATACACATGCATTGTATTTACACAGTACTAGACCGAAGCAAGGATTTGTATAGTAAGACAAATCCTCGACTGAAGTGAAAGGTGAGAATACAAACATGCATTTTTATTACACTATCAGTTATATATGTTTGTTCAACATATCCGTCGGAAAAAAAATCATAAAAACATTCTATTGTATGATTTACTTTTATTACTATAATCATATCAGAAATCCTTAAAATATAAAAGGTGCATTTTAATTTTAAAAGTTGCACGGCTGATCAGTTTTCTTTCTGAATTATTAGTTGGTTAATAGCTACGCCAAAAGTCTTCGATGCGCTTTAAATCGTGTTATAAGATGATTAATGAACAAGACTTAAAATGAGATTAATCCACTACCGGCATGCAAAAAGACTTAAACTATGTCACAGAAGTCAGGAAGTTCGAATAAATAAAATTAATAATTCCCAATTTTCTTCTTTATTAGTGTTCATATCCAGATAAAACTTGGTGAATATGTTTTTTATGGTATTATGAAACATAATAAGCTAAGTAAAAAATCGCGAATTTTCCCTTTAAGTTTTACCCTTGTTTTCTTAAATACTGTGTAATTGGAACTATTATGAAATATAAAGGGTTACTACTAGTAAGTTTACCGTATTTGAACTTCTAATTGGAAATTAAAAGAGATTTACCAGTGTGACAATTTAAGATTATTTTATTGTACACTGTCACTTAAGATTCTAGCCTCTAAATGATTGAAATTTTATTAAATCTGGACATTCATGTCATGTTTGGTCTTGCGAACAAGATGAGAAGAAGATATGTGAAACAAACCGAACACATTGTTATTGCAGGCATTCTTTTGAAAGTTCTTCTTCTTTCTCTAAATTAGAACTGATCTTTCATTTGTATCATTTGAAATGGTTATAGATTTTAATGTTGGAAATTAATGAAAACAAATGCTCAAACATACATTGTCATTGGTTTATTTATACATTCAAATATTTAATATGAAGAAGATACTTAAGGCACTACAAAATTTAAACTTGAATGCGTACATTTCCTCGACAAAAAAAAAGACAAATAATAGTTGTCAAAATTACCATGGAAAACTAGCAATTTAAGAGCACAAACTTCTCTCAACGTAAGGGTTAATTTTTGTGCTTAGACGGGTAAGCAAGTTTAGCTCCTACAGTGACACCCATAATGTGGCTAATGACGTATGTATATATTAAATTTTTTGTTGATACAGGTTATCATGGCTTGAGAAACGTTTATCGAATTTAACAGTTCAAGGATGTTTTATTCTGTGGTTAATATTTTCTTGTATAAATACCTCAATATATATATATACTTAATGAGCTAAGTTAATAGATTTTTACATTATAACCACAAAATCCAAAGAAATCAGTGTTTCATGAAGGCCAAAGTTTATTTTTTATATGTAGAAATATCATTGGTTGGTGTATTTTTATGCCCCACCTAGTTAGTAGAGGGGCATTATGTTTTTCGGTCTGCGTCCATCTGTTTGTCCGTCTGTCCTGCTTCAGGTTAAAGTTTTTGGTCAAGGCAGTTTTTGATGAAGTTGAAGGCCAGTCAACTTGAAACTTAGTACTCATGTTCCCTATGGTATGATCTTTCTAATTTTAATGCCAAATTAGAGTTTTGACCCCAATTTCACAATCCACTGAACATAGAAAATGATAGTGCGAGTGGCGCATCCGTGTACTATGGACACATTCTTGTTTCTGACTAAAATTAGCATTATTTTTTCTATTTCAGCACCATGAATTGGTATACAGATACATCAGTACATTAGAGACATTGTTATTTACAAGTGACATTGATTTCCATATCTTGGAAATATTCCAACAGTTCTGTGCATTACGATCATGAAATTTATGTTATCATTATCATCATTGTTACAGACAAGTCATTGAGTCATTTTTTCTGTCATCAGTATTTTTGTTTAAACTTGAGGTAATGTGTTGTTGTAATACATGATGAAATAACTGTAGTGATATGATTACCATCACAAGTGGAATAGTATAAAGACTGTACATATTTCATTTTGAAAAATCTGTTTTTTTAATTAGGGAATGAGAAGGTACAGTAATGTATGTAGTAGGATTCCAAATTCATGTTACCTTATTAGTGATTATAGTAATTGATAGGAAAGATAGACAAAACAGAAGGAAAATAAGAACTAGATACAGATGGCTTCAACTTTATACTGTACTAGTAGTCAAATATATTTTCATTTTACTGAGGGCGTTTAAAAAAAAAAAATGCTAAAATCTAAATTCCTTATGAAAAGTAAGTAAAAAAAGATACCTTATTTCAACAGTTGTCAAATGTTTTTATAGAAATTAAACCATAATTGACCAGGTGAAGTATATAATTGCAAATATAAAGTGGTTCAGAAAGTTGCAGTGATGTTTACATTAAATCAATGCAATGTTAGAGTAGAATATGTATACTTTCAGGAATTCATTTTATGGAGGAATTCAATTTTTTTCATTTTATACACCATGTCATTGTTACTGAATTTGAAGAAATTGTAAATTAAAACATCAACTATGAATTTCGGTGTTTTTTGTAAACATGAGAAACAATGTGAGCAACATTGTTTAAGATGGGTGACATGAAATATTCTTTTGTTAGAGCCTGGCCTCCTTTTGCAATGTGAGTAGAAATAAGAAGATGTGGTATGATTGCCAATGAGACAACTCTCCATCCAAGTCACAATGTGTAAAAAGTAAACAATTATAGGTCAAAGTATGGCCTTCAACACGGAGCCTTGGGTCACACAGAACAGCAAGCTATAAAGGGCCCCAAAATGACTAGTGTAAAACAATTGAAACAGGAAAACCAAGGGTCTAATCCATATGAAAAACGAGAAACAAGAAACTCTTAAGAACCTCATCAACAAACGACATCCACCGAAATAGGTTCCTGACTTAGGACAGGTGCAAACAAATGCAGTGGGTTTAAACGTTTTAACAGGTGCCAACCTTCACCCTAATCTGAAATAGTAGTGCAACATTACAACATAGAAAGACTCACTATAAAATATCAATTGAAATGGCTTAACTCAATCAAAATGACATATTAACAAAAACAAGTAAACATACACTGAATGAATAAATTTGATCTATGACACAATATAAATACAATATTAAATAAAAAAAGTTTGCAGTCATATAATGTTATCACATTGTCAGCGTATTTGTCATCATCTGAAGACATTTGGTTTCCAGACAATAACTTGAGTATAAGTGTATGGATCTCTATGAAATTGTACCACAAGGTTCTTCACCTCAAAAGGAAGATGATTGGGATTGATTTTGGGGGTTATGGCCCAAACCGTTCAGGAATTAAGGGGCAAAAAAAACCTAGGATTTTCATGTTTCCGGCAATAACTTGAGTATAAGTCATTGAACTCTATAAAATTGTAACACAAGGTTCCATACCAAAAAAGGAAGGTTGGGAATTATTTAAGGGGTTATAGACGTAACCATTTGGGAAAAAGGGGCCAAAAACAATACTTTCTAGTACTTTGTATCAATTGATTATTTCTTGAGCAATTTCAATGGGGTTTAATTCAAAGTCTTGAATTCTTGGGGTTCTATGATATGCTGAAACTAACTGTGTATTCAGATTTTGGATTTTGGACCCTGTTTTTAAATTAGTCCAAAGGGTCCAAAAATTAAACCTAGTTTGATTTCAACAAAAAATAAATTCTTGGTGTTCTTTGATATGCTGAATCTAATCCTGTAATTTAGATTTTTGATTTTGGGCCCGGTTTTCAAATTGGTCCACATTAAAGGGGCACTAGCTGTCAAATTCATGTTCACTGATTTGACTCAAATTCTCATATTTGATTTATAACAATGTAAAACATTTATCCACACTATTAAAAGTCTAAAATAAACAGTTAACAGGACATGGGCATGATAACAAGCAGCTCTTCGTTTCGTGTGTATTTTAGTCTAGACGCCATCTAATTAACTTTCGAGTTGACCTCCAAAGTCATCCGATGACCATATAAGCGATGTAAACATAAATAAAGATATAAATAGATTAAGCAAACTCGTGCTATTGGATTTTTCTAGGTCTGTTTAATTTCATATTATAGATTAAAAATATATGTTTATCATCTATTTTACCTGTATAAGAATGATTTTTTGTGGATCGGATCAGTCACTCAAATGATTTACCTTTGTTTCACTTTCAATGTTGACATTCTTTTCCTTTAAATAACTTTACACATACAATTCACGTGTTATCCATCTCTAGCTAAGGGGTTAAATTGAAGTTCACATGAATACGGATTCAATGAGGTCGAATTTTTCACTTGCAAGTGAATAATTCATCATCAATGTTTCTTAGCTTATTTTGACAAAATTGAACCATACTGGCGGCTAAAAGCAAATAATTATTTCACTATCATTAATGATTGAACAAAAAAAAATCATATATTAGATTTTTTAGCTCACCTGGTCTCATCACTTGGTGTCCGTCGTCGTTAGCTTTTTACAAAAACCTTCTCCTCTGAAACCACTGGGCCAAATTTAACCAAACTTGGCCACAATCATCATTAGGGTATCTAGTTTAAAAATGTGTCCGATGACCCCGCCAACCAACCAAGATGGCTGCCATGGCTAAAAATAGAACATAGGGCAAAATGTAGATTTTGGCTTACATCTCTGAAACCAAAGCATTTAGAGTAAATCTGACATAGGGTAAAACTGATTATCAGGTCAAGATCTATCTGCCCTGAAATTTTTTAGACAAATCTGACAACCTGTTGTTGGGTTGCTGCCCCTGAATTGGTAATTTTAAGGAAATTTTGCTGTTTTTGGTTATCTTGAATATTATTGTCGAGCCTTCGACTTTAGTCGAAAAAGCGAGACATAGCGATCCTACATTCCGTCGGCGTCGTCGTCGTTGTCGTTGGCGGCGGCGTCCACAAATATTCACTCTGTGGTTAAAGTTTTTGAAATTTTAATAACTTTCTTAAACTATCCTGGATTTCTACCAAACTTGGACAGAAGCTTGTTTAGGATCATAAGATAGTATCCAGAAGTAAATTTTGTAAAAATAAAATTCCATTTTTTCCATATTTTACTTATAAATGGACTTAGTTTTTCTGCAGGGAAATATTACATTCACTCTGTGGTTAAAGTTTTTAAAATTTTAATAACTTTCTTAAACTGTCCTGGGTTTGTACCAAACTTGGACAGAAGCTTGTTTATGATCATAAGATAGTATCTAGAAGTAAATTTTGTAAAAAAATAAATCCATTTTTTCCTTATTATACTTTTAAATGGACTTAGATTTTCTGCCAGGAAACAACACATTCACTCTGTGGTTAAAGTTTTTAAAATTTTAATAACTTTCTTATACTATTTTGGATTTGTACCAAACTTGGACAGAAGCTTGTTTATGATCAAAAGCTAGTATCTAGAAGTAAATTTTGTAAAAAAATAAATCCATTTTTTCTGTATTTTACTTTCAAATGGACTTAGATTTTCTGCCGGGAAACAACATATTCACTCTGTGCTTAAAGTTTTTAAAATTTTAATAACTTTCTTGTACTATTTTGGATTTGTACCAAACTTGGACAGAAACTTGTTTATGATCAAATGCTAGTATCTAGAAGGAAATTTTGTTTTCTTCCAGTTAACATTACATTCAGTCTGCAGTTAAAGTTTTTAAACATTTATTAGATTCATAAACTATCCTGGATTTTTACCAAACTTGGACAGAAGCTTCTTACAATCAAACGATAGTATCAAGAGGAATATTTTCATTGATTTACTTCCTCATTTTTGTTGAGCCTGCGATTAACAGAAAAAGTAAGCAAGACACTGGGTTCCGTGGAACCCTTACGAATTTTTATAGATAGAGATAAACTATAAACAGCAATAATGTTCAGCAAAGTAAGATCTACAAATAAGTTGTCATGACCAAAATTTTCAGTCGACCCCTTTAGGAGTTATTGCCCTTAATAGTCAACTTTTAACAATTTTTTGTAAATTTTTGTAATCTTTTACAAAAATCTTCTTCTCTGAAACTACTGAGACAAATTTAACCATACTTGGCGATAATCATTATTAGGGTATCTAGTTTAAAAAATTTGTCCGATGACCCCGCCTTCCAACCATCATGGCCGACTTGGTTAAAAATAGAACATAGGGGTAAAATGCAGTTTTTGGTTTATATCTCTGAAACTAAAGCATTTAGAGCAAATCTGACAGGTGGCAAAAATGTTCATCAGATTTAGATTTATCTGCCCTGAAATTTTCAGACGAATCTGACAACCCGTTGTTGGGTTGCTGCCCCTGAGTTAGTAATTTTACAAAAATTTTGCAGTTTTTGTTATTATCTTAGATATCATTATAATATCTAATATCTAATACTATTAATTATGATTTTAACCTTATTTTACATGATTTCCAAAGCATCAGTAAATACAGGTGAGCGACACAGGCTCTTGAGAGCCTCTAGTTATATATCTCGTAGCTAGTGCCCCTTTAAGGTCCAAAGGGTTCAAAATTAAACCTAATTTGATGTTAACAAAAATTGATTTCTAGGTTTTTATACGATCGCAAAATATATTGGTATGACGTTGGCGTCGTCGTCGTCGTCCGAAGACACATTGGTTTTTGCACAATAACCTTAGTTTAAGTGAATGGATCTCTATGAAATTTAAACAATAGGTTTATAACCACAAAAGGAAGGTTTGGATTGATTTTGGGGGTTATGGTCCCAACAGTTTAGGAATTAGGGGCCAAAAATAATCATTTTTCTAGTTTCATGACAATAACTTGTGGAACAGTGTATGGATCTCTCTGAAATTATACCACAAGTTTCCATACCACAAAGGGATGGGTTAGGATTGGCTTGGGGGGGGGGGGGGGGGTGTTATGGCTCAAACCTTTTAGGAATAAGGGACAAAAAAGTGAGAAAAAACAAGGGTGTCCTGGTTAATGGACAATTACTTAAGTACAAATTACAGTGTAAGGGAGGTAATTCAAAAACTACTTTGAATTACCTCCCTTACACTGCTTTTAAATTATGTATAAAAAACTTTTGTGTTGTCTTGAGGTGATTAGCTGTCAATTCATTTTTATACAACCGCAAAACATTTTTGCAGTTGTATATTGGTATGAAGCTGGCGTCGTTGTCATAGTTGTTGTTGTCGTCGTCGTCCGAAGACACATTGGTTTTCGCACAATAACTTTAGTTTAAGTGAATGGATCTCTATGACATTTTACCATAATGATTAATACCACAAAAGGAAGGTTGGGATTGATTTTGGGGGTTATGGTACCAACAGTTTAGGAATTAGGGGCAAAAAATAAGCATTTTTCTAGTTTCCAGACAATAACTTGTGGAACAGTGTATGGATCTCTCTTAAATTATACCACAAGTTTCCATACCACAAAGGGATGGTTAGGATTTGCTTTGGGGGGGTTATGGCTCAAACCGTTTAGGAATTAGGGGAAAAACATGGGTGTCCTGGTTAATGGACAAAAACTTTAGTACAAAACATAATATAAAGCAGTGTAAGGGAGG